GATGCTTTCAAACATATCGTGTCCGGCTCAGTTTAAACAGACCCTTGTGTTTTCTCAGGTGAATTCAGGCTGCCATTAAAGTTCAACGCTGCCTCTTAAGACGTTTATGAGCTCGATGAATGTTGATGACACCAATAATTGTACATAACCGGTTGCAATTACTTTTAAACCAAAATTAAACTCAGGTGGTGGAGATAACATTGATTCGGAGCCTACAGGTGGATGCTGTGTGCAGCTTAAGAAATGATTAATAAACATCAACATTTGGAACAGCACTGTGTGTTTCCAAAGGACCTATTTAATCCTAAACAACTGAAAGAAGGGAATAGAGTACATTATCATCATGAGGAAGAATCTAATGTAACTTTGAGCTTTTCGTTTAAATTCACCAACCAGAAACAATCAGTGGTCACATTAAAAAACATATTAAGCAGAGCTCAACCGATATTGGTTTTTCAATTGCCGATACTGATATGTACTGTCAATTTTGATGGGCTGATTTTCATGGCTGACATCTAGACATTTTCCACCTTATTTTCAGGCTAAAATGTCACTAATATCAGTTGATGCACACAGTTTCTGAAGCTGAATCAGTTTTTTATGGGGATGTGTTTTGGTGAAATTCTGACAATACGATACGCATCACGATATGACATATCACGATATATTGCAATATATTCAGCCAGACAATATTAGCGATTTTTTTAGACTGAATTTATTTGTAAGAAAATTCAATAAATAGTCCAAACTAATGTGTAACATGTTTAACGTGAGGTATCTGAACCATGATAGAGGGATTTACATTTCAGTGGAGGAAACAATACCCATTACACGCTGCTGCCAGTTAGCGGTCGGCGGTTGAATTGCACCAAAAGAAAACAAAATCTTTGCATGTAAATTCTTCCATAAATCAGATACACAGCCTTTGAATATTGATATAATATTGCAGGAAAAAATATTACGATATTTTGCCATAGTTTTTGAATTCTTAATTTAACAAACTGTTAAATCTTAATGTTGTTAACGTCAGACAATAAAGTTAATTAAGAGTATTAATATGCAGAAGATATTAGTGAATGTAAGAACACATTTACAATAAATTCTGCAACAAAACTGGGCTGCCCGAGGATGTGTCTGACTGGCTTCACTAAAGACAATGTCGGCCGAAGCCGATGTATAAAAATCGGCCGAAGTCAACCTTAATGACAAATTAGCTAATTAAGGCAAATTAGCTCAAACTAGGGATGGGTACCAAATTCGGTACTTTTTAAGGTAATGGCCGAATTCCATAGTACCGACCGAGCACCGATTCATGTCATTTCAAACTGTGCCTCGTTTCGGTACCCGTCCATCATAACGAGAACTTGCCAAGACAGCTGCGCATGCGCAAGAGCGTTATGTCGTTGCTCGCTGCGAACCAGTTGTAAACAGAGCAGCATGGTAGAAAGAACACATGCTAAAGCTTGGGTCCACTTCACTAAATGTGATGGGTAACTGGGTGATGATGAAACCGGCGACAACGATCTAAGTGAGACATCCTCATCTTAATCTGCTCCGGTAGGTAAATAAAATTAGCTTGATATGTTAGCTTCCGTTTCGCTAATGATGCATTCGCTTTCTCCTCGGAACTCCAAATTCCCGACTAGAAGAACATGAACGCGCTCTAAAGTTTGGCTTCACTTTACTAAATGTGACGGGTGATTGGGTGAAGACGAAACCAGTGACAACGATCTAAGTGTGAGGCATCATCGTTTTAATCTGCTCCAGCAGCTAAATAAACTGTTTAAGATAACGTTAGCTTGATATCTTAGCTTCCATTGCTACCATTGTTATCAGCTAATGGTGCGTTCGCTTTCTCCTCGGAAATTCTAACTTCCCAGTAGGAAAAATCAAATGAAAAAGGACGGCAAAAGGAATGAAGATACACAGTAAATTTAGTTCACAGCAAAGATGTTTGCTTCAGTTTAATTATCAGCTTATAAAACTACAAGGACGATGTTAAAATACAAACAGTTGTATGTTATTTATCGTGATATTTATCAAATATTGTTATATATTGAGAAAAATATATATTTAATTATAAAAGAGAATTAAAATAATAAACACTCAAAAGTATCAAAAATTGGTACGGTTAAGTACCGGTATCGATTCGTAGGTACCAGGAATTAATACCGAATCGATTCAAATGTCAAAGGTACCCATCCCTAGCTCAAACATGTCATCCTGTAACTTTTTAGTAGCTGGTTACCAAAATGAAATCTGAAACTTTTAACACTTTTGCCAGTCTGCTCTGCACATAAATCTAAATTAAAAGTGTGATTCTGTACCTTAAAGCAGCATGCCAAAAGATAAAAGCTAAACCCTTCTATCGTAGCTAAGACGCTAATGAGGGGTTTCTAATAACATCAACTGTGGCTTAGTTTGTCTTCATGTCTGCACAGTTTATAATACAGTGACAGAAAACCAGCAGGATAAGAGGATAAGAGCTTTTAAGAGTTCATGATTCAGTTTTTTTTATTTACAGCTGTGATTTTTCAAATATCAGAATAGAATCGACTTTATTAATCCCACAGTAGGGAAATACACTTGTTACAGCAGCACCAGCATCAGCCGCCAGTCAAACTGTAAAATGTAACCGGCTACAGTAGACTTCACTTCCTGTGTCAAACACAGCATCGTTTTCCTAGCTTGTACAGAATATCTGAATTAGCAGAAACTTGGTGTTTGGGTGACGGTTCTGTCTGACTTGTTAAATCAATGAAATCTATAATTAAGCATTTATATGTCTCACTTATTTTCTGTTCCCTCTGAAGATTTCATTTCAGTCCGTTTTGATTCAGCCTCGTTTCTCCTGTTTTTGTTGTCCTCTCCTCTCTTGTATTTGCTTTAGAAATACCTCACCCAGCTTTCACAATCATTATGTTTACATTAGGCCCTCTCCCTCTCTCTGTCCCTTTTCCCTTCTTTTTCCTACTTTCTCTGATTCATCCCATCCTGCTGCGTCTCACTTTCCCTATTTTCTTTCTTTCTTTCTTTCTTTCTTTCTTTCACAAGACAGCAAAATAAAAACTGTTCATGTTTTACAAAATACACTAAAGCTTCTGCTGTCCAGTCGGTCAGCACGGACGAGCAGAAACTAAATGTGATTCAAATTTAGCAGATCAACTGTTTTATATTGAGACAAAAAAGAAATGGAGCATTTAAATCTGTTTGGTTATCAGCAAAAATAATAATCATAAACTTGTTATTGTGAAAGAGACAGCTCATGTCTTGAGAGGAAGGTTTTAAAGCTATAAACATAATCAATAATTGAAAACAAAAATCCAATGATAAGTGATGCCAGAGCTAGAATGTCCCATAGCTCTTAACCATAAGTTTAAAATGAATAAACTAAAACAAATTTTAGGGTAATAACACATATGGATAATGAGTTCATTACAGTAACGGCGTGTAGTTTCCTGGCGCTAGGAGGCAGTACATACATTTCAGTGTAGGTTTACACCTTATCGCCGTGACTGTTGCTAATTTAAAAAGACATTACGGTAAATGTTGTTACCTGCGGAGCAAAACTCATGTGACCTCAGCGTGACTCCTCAGATTTTGATGGTCCTTCACTTAATTACATCGAGAGAATGCAATGCCGATTGTAGTTTTCTGGCGCTGAACTTTTCGGATCTGCTCGGGGTCCTGTGCCTGCTGATGATGTCATTATATACGGCAATACCACTCAGCCAAAATATATTGCATCTCTTTTTCGACTCTGCTTTTTCACATGGATTTTGGAAAGAGTTTAGCAGTTTTGTTATTACATTTGTGTTTCTTCATGCCTAAATGCTTTTGAACGAGGTAATGTAACTTCCATAAGTCGTACGTCCAGCCTGTCATCTAATGTGATGTCATTGCCAGGCGCAGGACCACAAGCCGGCCTGAAGGAAACATGGCGCCGCCCCAAAAATGCTAGACCCACGCTCTACGTATGTACGTTAGACCGGATTTTTATGGTTACATGGTACAAAGCCGCCAATATTTTTCAACAAATATTGGACACAATTGTATTCATTTTCAACAACATTTTGATGGATATTTCCAGAGATTAATGGTAAAAACTGCAGATTGTCTCTTTAATATGTTATAATCTTGATTAATGGGTACTCTGGGAGAAACAAAACCAGAAAAAAAGCTTTATAAGTGTTACTGATCAAATCTAACTTGTCTTGAACACAAACATTTGATGAACGTGTTTGCATGTAGATGCTGTAATGTCCAGTTTTACAATGCAAACAAGTGAAGGGTGGAGAGAGGTGGATGGTTCGCAAACAAAACTAGCTTAACTTCAACTTCAGAGTCCAACATTTACATCCTCATTCCTGATTGTAGCTTGGTTTAGATAACAAGAGACACATTTGTTTATTGTTTCCACTTCCATGTTATTGTGTTTAAAGATGTCTACTGAGAGTCTAAACATGCTTATGAAAACAGGCAGTAGCTGCTCAAATCTGATGTTTCTGCTGAAAGAGAATACCCTAAAAGGAGATGTAAATGATGTTTAGTTTAGTTTTAATAAAACACTTAAATACATTAGTAGTCTCAGCAATAGCATTTCCTCATTATGCAAATAAAACGTTTATAGTCAAATTCGGTTTCTGCGCTCCAATCAGTCGTCACTAAATCTCATGTGTACAAACAGAATAAAACACTGTCTCTCTTTCCTAAATGTCCCTTCAGCTCCAGCGGGAAGTGAGAAGTATGAGAAGAGTAAAGCATGTTCAGTCTGCATTAAGGCCAATTCAGCAGCACTGCTTCGGGTTTCATGGCTGCTGAAAAGCTGAATACATCCTTCATCGCTCTGATTTCTGATTCAGACTCATCTAAGCAGCATGAAAGACTGAAACACTTTAGATTTGTCATCGTTAAGCTAATATGAGCCTATTCAGTAATAACCGTGCATTGATTTTTTTCTGATGTATTAAGTTGAAAAATGTATTACTACCCCTTTTTACCTCTTTCACTCTGTGTTTCTTCCTTTCTTCTCATTTTATTCCTCTGCCACTTCCTACTTGTTCCTCTCATTTCCTGCCTTTGTCCCTTTTCTCTTCCTCTTTACATTCTCTCGTTCTCTGTTCCGCCACACAGTAATATGATCTCGTCTATCAGGCCGACAGAACCGTGAATCAAAAGACACACACAGAGAAATATAGTACAAATCTTGGAAGCCCCACCCCCACTGCACACTCTCTGTCACTCTTTTTCTCTCATCTACAACATCCCTACCCCCAACCACACGGCTCTTTCTCCACATCCCCAGCATCTACTGTCTACCTCTTCTTCCCGCTTTCTGAAGCTGTACTCACCAACGCCACAGCACAATTTCACCACAGTATGGAGTCTTTCTGTTACTGATGTGATTCTGGCATTTAAAACAGCAAATAGTGAGTTTGTTTGTTACGTGTGTTAAAGAATACTCTCTGTAAAAGAAAAAAAAAAGCAGAACATAATGAGCTTGAATTACTAACATCCAATGATCACGACGGAGTAAAAAAACTTGTGGCTGTCGTTGTGACGCCCTGAGGTGACTGGATGAACCACTACTCATTAGAGCACTTCATTAGAGAAATGACAATGTCAAACTCAGCAGCAAAACAAAACAATCTTAAAACATCTCGTGTTAAAATGAACTCATATTTTGGTTTGTTGTTGCTGACGGTAACGTCACAAATCTGGCCTACTGATTCTACATCTGGAATTAATAACACAGGACTCTCTTTGAATTAAATTCGTGATATTTTTCTTTTGCAGCTGTTTTAAATCTATTTTGTTTGTCCACTATTTTAAGAAGAGACAATAAGATTTAGAATTGTGTTTTGAAAATATGCTTCAATATGCCATAAATAGTGTGAAGCTGATAAATCACTGTTCAACTAGTTTTAGCAGTGATAGCCACAGTAAATATTACTCCCTGGCTTTAACGCGGACAACTGTAGGCACCAAATATGCAATCACGGTATATTTTATTATCAGATGGAACCTAGCCGAATCTATGTCGTAAACACTGCAGCATCAATTTGTAGAGTTTGTGTGGCGGTTGACGGGTTTAGCTAGCTGTCTGAGTCTGATGCCAAATTCTTAAACACTACCTTAAAAACATACGGGACAGGAAACTTTCCTTTGGACAGCTGAGAGCTATAGTCAGTACAACAGGACCTTCATCAAATGCTTGCTGTTAAAGTGTGAGAGCCAAAGTTTACTCAAAGACGAGTGGAGGAAAACCAGCACGTTTGTGATTTAGCGAGTGAACCTTTAGCACATCGGGTGGATTAGGCGACAGACCTGTGAATAATCCATTCAATCACAAAAGCTGTGGACCACCCTGCTAGGGACCAGAGTTTATTCTGATTCCACTTAGTCCACTTAATCCAGGACATATGAAACAGATAAGAGTTTAAAAATATTTATGTGAAAGAATTCAGTTGATTCATGCCTACGTGGACAAAGCAGAATTCACAGATTGTGGCAGGGATCTAAACGTAACAGCTCACTGGGCGTTGCTCAACGGATTTTAGTATGGCCGTAAGTCCAAAAATGGTTTCTGCTACACATGTTCTGTTTTTTTTTAAATGTACTAATTTAAATAAAAAATAATACTTCAGTTTAGATTGAAGTTCAGCTCTGTGCAGTTTGCACATTTAAACAGTTTGGCTTTAATTACTTTGGAAATATGTATTCACACCCTCTGAATAAAACAGATATAGATCAAGTTACAACATTTCACCAAAGCTGATTAGCCCAGAGAAACAAAACCAAATGGTTGTTTGCAGATAAAGTTTTACTGCTACTGCTACTTATCCACCACTAAATGAGTTTTTCACTATTTCATTTAACTGTGACTCAGGAAAGGTTAATAATCTGCTGGCACAACACATCAGCTGAACCTAATTAAATAATCAGGCAATTCATCACTGTCAAATGAAAGGGGTCCTACTGTGACCAACAGGTAACCAACGCATCTCCCTGCATTCGCATATATGGGTTATCATGTACTAAAATAATTCATAATTACTGCTTGATGGATCCAGCTTGACCTACTGCTAAAACATGAGATCCAAGAGCAGGATCCTGTTGTGGATCTGACTCTGACCTTTGGCATTGCCGCGGAGGGAGGAACACAACAAATCCTCCCTGCCACAAATCAACTTGAACACCTACTTTAAGCAAAAATCAGCAGACATAGGGGCATAGTCCCCACATCCGTTTAAAATATTCTTAGAAACATATATTTTCTTCCCAAAACATGCGTTTTGAACGTGATTACTGCATATATCACCTGAGGTGAAGTTTTTATTGTGTGATTAAATCGTTGTGAGAAAAGTAAAGATGGCAATAATAACATGTAGTTACCGCAGATGGCAGTGTTAACTAAGATGAGTCAAATTAGGAAATTAATTACCAGTTAATTAGCAGGAACAGGAACATGGGCACACGATGAGGAAAGCACGGGTGTTTTTAGAGTAGGGTAGGACAATGTAGAAATGACACCAACCTTATTATTTCCAAAAGCCGGGTCTGGGTAGGAGAGCTGTCCCAGTCTGGTGTGGTCTGAGGCGGACAGAGGCTGGGGAGGAGGTGGGTAGACTGTCACATCCATGACTGAAAATACATCCACGTCTCTGTCTGCTCTTCTTTCCCACTTTCTTTTCTGCGAATTAGGAGTCACTGTATAAGCTTGAGCTCTTCAAAACAACCTCAGTCGATTCAAATGTTCTTTTGATTTAAGCAAGTTTGTAATTGAACGTATACTGTACTATTATTAAAGTCCTCGAAGTTAGGGTTGATGCACGTCTATACGACACCGGCTTTCATGCTCCTGCGACTGCTCTCTGAGGACCAAAGTTCCCTGGAAACGCACTCTGTCGTTTAAGAAAATGATCAAACTAAAAGAAGCGCCTAAAAGCGCCTTTTTTCTCTTCTTTTTTCCGTGTCAGTTTCCTGCTGCGGTGTGTAGATGGGACGGGGAACGTCGCTGAACCTGTCTGTCCCCGACTGGGACTCTTGTGTTCGGTCTGCTGCTGCCGCGCGGATCACTCATACAAAGAGATGAGCTAACAAGCTAACAAGAGTTAGCCACAACAAACCGGAAATTACTTTTTTCACAAAATAAAAGCCCGCTGGCCGTATCCAGCAAAAGACACAGAGAGGGCCACATTGAGAGCCACGCTTCTTCAAATTTGAATTATAATTTTACATATAAAACACAATTTTTGTTTGTATAACTGCCCTATAAACTATTTTCGTCTGAAGACCACCATGAATTTATTTTGGTAGGACTGGTTTCCTCTTGTAAATCCACCGGCGGTGAACGGCGGCGCGCGCACCATCTATAGGAGACAACATCCAGGCCAAATCATAAAAAAAATACTTAATGTTTGGCATTTTGGGCTCAAATTCACTCAAAACTATTGTTGTTGCTTGTTTTCCTTCATTGTACATAATACAGCTCTACATTATTTTCATTTTACTTAAATGAAAGTCCAAACTCCATAGGTAGTTTGGACTTTGGCTCAGCACAGTCAAAAATGTAACATGTGGTAGTATTATGGTCTATATGGTAAACAAATGAATGTAATTGCATTGCAGTAATGTAAATGCAGTCACTCGCTGTGATGGAAATGTGAATGACTACATCACTGAACAAAAATGTAGTCTCACAAAAAGCCATTTTGTTGAATGTGAATTACTGGAAGTGTCCTATTTCTATGTCCCCAATATTTTAGAAAATCAAATTCCACATCTTATTTGCTCCACTAGATCTTCAAAACGTCGTCAGGACTGGAGTAAAAATCTTTTGTTTCAAACTTAAAGCAGGTTTCTTGAATTCTATCAGGAAGATGATATATTTCTTGCTAAGCTTGGAAAAATCCCACTGTCCAGCTTCAAGTTTATTGTAGTTTTTTACACCGAAACGAGATCCTTTGAGGTCTCACACAATAGCACACGTTCTCACAGGGAGGATTTTTTTGAAAGGAAACAAATACAACTGAGATTAAAACAGTAAATACTCTGTTGAAGTTCAGTAAACAAGTATATATGAACAGATTTCTTCAGTTACTGTTTCTTCTGTTGGAAATCAGCAAAGAAATTTCAGTAGCAGGCAAAGAAAACCTAAAACAAAATGTATTTCTCAAATAATGATTTCATTGTGTGAAGCGAAAAGTTATCTTAACTTATGCCCTTGTGTGGAAAAAGTAATCGACTAATTAAATAGCTAGCTCAAACAAAGCTAACTGTTTTACGCATATGTGAGACAGGCCTGTGTGTTGTTTCTGGCCATCAGAGGAAACTCCACCATGATGCACTTTTTGCCCCACTTCTTTTATTGTTAAACAATGACCTCTGACCTTGCCGGAGCCTAGAGAGACCTGCAGACTTTTAGATGATGTTCCGGCTTCTTTTGTTTTGGAAGTTCTTTAAAAAGGAGCACGTCGTGTTGCTTTTTGAGATCCTTTAACCTACTTGAAGTTGTCAGAAAGGTTATGTTAAGGTGATTTCTGATAATAATCAAACCTGGGTGTTCCAGCATGAAAACTGTGTATTGTAGAAATCCATTTGAGAGATGGAGTTAGATTATGAGAAATAAATCCATGAGTGATCTTACACAAACAGGTTTCATTAGAGACGATGTGTTTCAGAAACAGAAAAAACATTCAGACCAAACTGATGCAGAGAAAATGTTGATTTCATTCTTGTCTAGATGAATTTAGTGTCATTATCCTCAGATATGTGCACATTCAGGGATGCACACAAACAAAGAGCTCCGGTGCTGTTCACTCACACACACGCTCACGTGCACGCGCACGCGCACGCTCACATGCACCTCTTCACAGACTAGCAGCTTTACAGTACACTTAGACAGATGGTCATGCATGCATATGAAACAAAAATTAGCTCAGACTCTTAAATACCCACACATAATTATAGCCTTTATTGTAACACGGGCACACATGTACACACTTAAGCATATGGACCACACACACATTTAAAATCATGCAGATACATAAAAATGCACAAACACACTCTGTAGTTTGTATGCACACAACTTGGTATCATAAACCTCATTTTCTGTTTTATCACACTCACACATACAAACACACCCACTCATACTTAGTGAACATACAGTGAGTCGCCCATCCCCCCAACGTGCACACATACATATATGCACCCCTCCCCTTTGAAAAAGGCATAATTCACTTCCACATTCTCCTCCCCCACACAGTTCCTCTCTATAAAACTCCACCATCTCACTCACACACACACACGCACACACACACACACACACACACACACACACACACACACACACACACACACACACACACACACACACACACACACACACACACACACACACACACACACACACAGTCAAACCACTTGCACATATGTTCCAAATCTACCACACACATATAGTCTTAAAATACTTGTGGACTTACATATGCACACACACACACACACACACACACACACACACACACACACACACACACACACACACACACACACACACACACACACACACACACACACACACATTGATGGTGATATGAACACACCACCAGTAAAACACACACACATGCGCACACACACTTGTTTTGCTCTCCCTTTACCCATTACAGCTCTCAGACCCTGTTAAAAGAACTTTCTGTCAAATTTTATGGGTGGAAACTGTAATGTGCTGTGGCATCTGAATGATGTGTGACTCTTCATGTTGGGGGATTACATTATAGATTCATAGCACAGCAATCAGCCCTCGAGTGAAAACGGCTAACCCTTCAGGTTTTACAGATTTTCAGTAAGAAAGAGACGATGATATGAAAAGGAAGTAAATAAGCAAAAAGTTGTTTGTTATGAAAAGCATTGAGTGGGAAAAAAATCTACAACATGTCAGAATGGAGCATGAATATATGCATATGATAGAATAGCAATCCCTATTGATAAATGGGAGGTGGATCTACCAGTCAGCTTTGACCAGAACTTCTGGTCCCAAACTTGTTTAAAAACTTTTAAAATGATCAGACACCCCAATTTACAATTAGTTCAGTACAAAATTCTACACAGAGTACACTATACAGGTCATCGGATGTTCAAGATGGGGTTTGTGTCGTCTGACACCTGTACACACTGCACAAACAACATTCCTGACAATTACATTCACACACTGTGGTCCTGCCCACCTGTCCAGGAATTTTGGGGTAGAGTATGTGAAGACCTGTCAAAGTGTCTGAATTGTCATTTCCCAACCGCCCCCTCTCTTTGTTTACTGGGAAACCTGGACGATGTCCCGATTGAAACATCTTTGGCTCACGTGGTTCTGACTGCCATATGCATCGCTAAAAAAACTATCCTCTTGAATTGGATAAATAGAGATACTCTCTGCATTAACCAGTATAGAAATCTTTTGTTAGATCATATTACACTTGATATAGCCTCTGCTTTCACTTCAGATCAATCTCCCTGGACTCCTTTGATCGGTTCCATCACATAGCGATGACGGGGGACCATTGATATTGTCCTGCGGGATGATGTGGGTGAGGGGGTGGAGGGTCTGAGTTTGGAGTATCTGGACATTCCTTGGAGGTGGGTTCACTGGGGGTGTCTGGGACTGGAGGGCTGTTGCCCCCCTCTGGAGGTACTTGGGTTGCCTCGGGGGGTGGACTACTGGCAGTTGTGAGTGGGGCCCCTTGGAGGTCTTGGCGGTGGCCATGGGTTACTGCCCGGCGGCTGCATTGCCCCTGGGCGGGTCTGGGTGGGGGCCTGGGGACTCGGGGTGTGGGGGTGGCCGACCTCGTGGGGGGATCTGGGCGGGGCCTTGGGGATAAGGTCCTGACATGTATGCTGCCGGGGAGAAGGCAGGAGCATGCAGCAGTGCCTGACTCGGGTTCAGGGGCCTCGGGTAGACCTTGGCTCCTCTGCTGTCCCATCACAGGGGAGGGGGAAGTCCAGGAGGGGGAGGATCCAACCTTACCTGGATGTCCTATGTCTTTTATAGTCCAGAAGTTGTGCAAATGCAGGGATGGGAGTAGATATTCTGCTGGGGTGGGGCTGGGTTGGTGCCCTCGGACTCCGTGAGGCTCTGAGATGCTGCTGCTTTGGGCCCTGGCAGGATGGGCTGGGGTCTCCATGCCCTGGGTGGCATTTTGACAACAGAGGTGCCTATTGGGGCCAGTGGGGTAGCTGGCTCCCTGGAGGGCTAAGCCCAACCAGCCATTCCTCCTCATCCCCACACATTTCTCTCCTCCTGCTCCCTCACATCATCGCACAAACATGCACATAGGACCTTGGGGGGTGGACAAGTCAGGGAGTGCGGGTATGGACCCCCTTTCCGCATTCCTGTGGCAACCTGCCCCCCCAATTTTATCTGCATCTTAAACACTTCCACCAATGACATTCCATGCAAACACACACTTAGGGCCTGGGGAGTGAGCACATCCAACGGCATTTGGCAGGGTGATTTATCCGCCTCATCCCGAGTGCCGGTGCCCACTTCCGATTTTAAACTGCACTTAGACACTGAGGGCTGTGGGTGCAAGTGGGGTGGTGTGGTGGCATCAGCTGGCATAGGCCAGACGATGCCCGCACTGCCCGCTCACCACAGCCATGGAATACACCTCATCAACACACACTAACACCATACTGGAGCAGGCGGAGGGAGACTAGGGGTCTTAGCACACCTCTGTTGTCGCTTGGCATCCTTGGGGCTGGAGGCTAGGAGGGAGATCCGGCCATCCGGTTGGGGTGGTGGGTTGCTGTGCTCAGCGTTAGGCGGGGGAGCCTGCTCATCAGCACCCCAGCAGAAAGGGTTGAACTCTTGGAACCGGTGATGGTTGTACCCAATGTGCAGCAGTACTGAGACCAGAGTGAATAGGGTGTGTATGGGGAGCATGAGTGGGTGTCCGGCGTGCATTTTTGTAAGTCTTTGGTTGTATGTGTATGTGTGAGCATGGGGGAGGGAGTGTGTGACTGTGTTTGTGTATGACTGTGTATGTCAGGTGGGGCCTTTGACTCCTCCCTTCTCCTGGGACTTCTTTTGGTGATATAGATCTATGTCTCCCCTCTCCCTGCCACACCTGGTGTGGAGTGTGGTGCCTTGGTCTGCCTGGGTCGTGGCTCCTGGGTCAGGGAGATTAAGATTTTTGGCATCTGCCTGACCAATCCCGGTGCCTGCCTGGTGGGATCTGGGTCCCTGGGCTCTGCTGGGTCCCCAGCGGGGGGTGGTCGCCCCTGAGTCCCGGGTCATTGGGTCCCGGGCTCGGCTGGCTAGGGGGTGGGAGGCTGCGGGCGGACCTGTGGGCTTGCCGCCGATATCTCCTGGAACTCTGCCGGCTGCTGGTTGTGGCCCCCCGGGGCGATCCTCTGCGCCTCTCGGCGGGGGCAGGGGCCTTTCTGGTTGCAGTCTCCCTGGGGTTCCTGTGCTCTGGGGCAGCTCCTGGATCTCTGGGACTTGGAGCTCCCTCCATCTCCTGCACATCTTTAGGGGGCAGATCTGTGGCCCCTCACATTCTTTATTGGATGCTCCTATAGAGAAACCTTACATAAACAAGCACGTGTACACACACAGGTGCTCACATGGTGCTCTCATAAGTATGAACTTGGGCACGTTCAACACAGGTCTTAAGGCTATGGTGGGCACTTAATGCACTGTGATTTATTATCATGTGATTGTTCAGTTAAACAATGCTGATTATATATTTATTCATCAAGTTGATGCAGTGATAGCTTGATCTTGTTGTATTGTTGTTGTGTCCCAATTTTTTGTTTTTTTTTTCTTTTTTTTCTTCTCTCTTTCTGCAGGTCTAGAAGCAGATTCTTGTTTATTATTGTTTATTTTTGTGGAAGCCCCCCATCTTTTGTCTCTTCCTTTCTCTTTCACCTCTGTCTCCGTGTCTGGCCGGAATTAAAAAGCATTCAAAAACAAAAAACAATAACAATCACAGCCAGACAGGAAAAAATAAATAAATAAAAAAGATAAAAAAAATAATGGAGCATGAAAAAATAAGATTTTGAAAGCAACTCCAGTTTTATCTGAGCAATCAGATTCAGATCTTAAAGAGCAAGTCACCCCCACCAGGGTCTTACTCCACTCCCACTTCCTGTCTGAAAAATGCAACAAATGCTGTTGCCTGGCAGAAAGAAAGGGTGGAGCCACTAACAAATAGGGAGTCTAAGTCTCCTCCCTTTCCCGTCGGCTCATGGGTACCCGGAAGTACGAAAAAATGAATGCAAGTCAACGGGGCTAAAAACTCTATTTTCGAATCCTCTTTGCCTTAGACTCTGAATTGCACACATTTTGTACTGCAATTTAAATGAGAAGTAATGATGGGTGTTTTGACCACGCCAGTCACGTACTTTGAGATTTATCAGCTTGTAAAAGTTCGTAATTAGCATGACTACAACTTAGGCCTCGGCATGTCGCATATATGTCTTCACCACTCCTCCTCTAGCGTAGCTGCTACTTACCACATGGCCAGATTTAAAGTGTTTTTTTCCTCCTGAAGGAAGGATATGAAGCTTGCTGAACTTACAGCCCTTTTCCCTTTGTTTTCTCCGCGTTTGGTTCAATGATGTCACTTTTGTGATGCACATTTGTAGTTCTGGACTCATTTTCACACAAAACCTAAAATAACGTTTCCCCCTGTTCGAAAATAAGCGCGTTCTTAATATCAAAATGTGTCTTTAAAATTCACGGACATCATAATGTGAAATCCATGGCACATAACAAGCGGAATTAGGAAAAAGCGTTTTTCCCCACATTGACTTGCATAAATGTTTTCGTTCTTCCGGGGACCCATGGTCCAGAAGTAGATGGGCGTGACTTAGGATCGCTATACATACACACACAGGCTCACAATGACATTGTGTCATCATGATGTACCAGCTAACATAATAGTGTACCTGTTAGCCAATAGCGATGGCAGATTTAAGTTTAAATACAGTGCAGAGTTTTTACCTGAAGACGGCACAACACTGACAGTTTTAGGCAGAATATTTAAATTATTTAAATTGGTGCTGCATCTGCAGTGATGCGGGCATTGCACCGGTCTGTCGTGGTGAAGAGAGAGCTGAGCCAGAAGGCGAAGCTCTCGATTTACAGTTCGATCTACGTTCCTACCCTCACCTATGGTAAGGAGCTTTGGGTAGTGACCGAAAGAACGAAATCGCGGATACAAGCGGCCAAAATGAGTTTTCTTCGCAGGATGGCTGCGTCATCCGGGAGGGGCGCAGAGTAGACTCGCTGCTCCTCCACATCGAGAGCAGCCAGTTGAGATGGCTCGGGCATCTGGTCAGGATGCCTCCCTGGTGAGGTTTTCTGGGCACGTCCAACCGGGAGGAGGCCTAAAGGTAGACCCAGGATACGTTGAAGTGACTATGTCTCTCGCCTGGCCAGGGAACGCATTGGGATTCCCCCAGAAGAGCTGGCCCAAGTGGCTGGGGAGAGGGAAGTCTGGGCCTCAACTTAGGCTACTGCCCCCGCAACCCGACTCTGGAAAAGTGGATAAAAATGATTGATGGATGTTTACATCATTTTAAATAGGATGCACTAAAGTGCCAAATTATTGACTACACGTGTCTACAGCATGATTAGACACTCATTTACATAGCTTATCAGTAAAAAACATTGATTTGGGGGTGACTTGCTCTTTAATTATTTTCTCTTCCTGCACCCACTTTTGTAGAATTTCATTGTGAGCTTCTCATTATGAGACACACACACACACACGCACGCACGCACGCACGCACGCACGCACACACACACACACACACACACACACACACACACACACACACACACACACACAAGTAAATTCACACTAGAAGCACATCATGTTTACTACATACTGTAACTACATATATGCATTGTTACACAACTCTAATCCAAAATCCTACAACTTTATATCTAATTGCTGTAAATTAACAACGTGAAGTGTCATAGTTGTGTCATCACCATCATCACTGACAGTGGCAGAGTGTAGGTGTGGTTATTAATTACTGTCCACCAGAGGGCAGTATTAACTAGCTTAGTGTTAAATATACTGTGTAGTTGTTGGATAATTTTATTAGTGACTTTTTCTACATTTAATTGAACACGCTGTGTTAATCGCATAAGCTATAACAGAAGAGATTAAGCACAGAAGCTTAATTTGGAGATTAAACATTTTTATTTTGAATTAAATCAGATTTGGAAAACATTTAGGTATGAAAGTGAAATATATAAACTTACTTTCTTTATTTTACTTTCATTTACCTGGTTATGTGCTACACGTGAGTCAACATTTATCGTTTAATTAAAACCTTTATAATTAAGCTAATCCTGATGGTTAGTGTGGAGACGTTCCACTCTCAGCCCGAGCTCCACTTGATGCTAACCATCACATAGTCAGGACAATTTTCCCAGCAGCCCCGGGAGACTCCATGATGTCATGGTGGGCCTGAGCAGCTTTGTCCAGCGGATACTGGGAACCAACGACTGGCCGCAGCCAACCAGCTTCCATTCCTGCGTAGAGCAGAGCTGCACACTCCTTCTCCTCCTCCTGGGAGAGAAGAGGAGAAGGAATAATCACAACATAGTAAAGTGAATGATGTGCTGGCGCTTCATTATTGATTGCTGCACGTGACACTTTTTGTGATGTCACACCGGTGTTGCAAAGAACAGGGCCACTCCAATGATGCTGCTCTCCTTAGCCATGGTGTCTCTGGGATTGATCTCTATGGGACCTCTGGAGCCAACGATCTGCAGAGACGTGGAGATGAGAGCAGCTTTTGACTTTATGATTTTGTTGTACAAAGCCGTTTCAGAGAATCACTAAAGTGCTGCTGACTGTGACTCGTCCTCCATAGGCCAGCATCTGAAGGTCTTTGCTCAGGTTCTTGTTCGACAGCATCTCAACTATCACATCTACTCCTCCACCCTCTGTGGCCTCCTGCAACACACACGGTCCACATTTCTGTAACCGTTACTGACCGCTTTTATTTGTTCTTCTTTCTCCATGTGTGACTACCAGGATTTTGTCCGTGTAGCCCTCCTCTCTGTGATTAAAGGCCAGATGAGCGCCGTTACTGAGAGCCAGCTTCATCCCGTCTGATGTCCCAGCTGTCCCTAAAACTGTGAGACCCAGAGCTCGGGACAGCTGGCAGGCCGCTACACCCACCTGAAGGTGGAGGAAAACACAACCTTGAAAAGGTCACTGTCCATTTTTTATTTATTGTCACTAATCAGAACTAGCCCCTGGTTTTTGGTCAGAACTGTATGCAGAAACCTGGATTCAGTTTACAATATATTTTTTTTGTAGGTCATTAACTTTGCTCGTTACATTAACAACACCGTTTCTATATTCATTATTGCACAGAAAAAATTTAAAATAAAGCAGAAATCTCCTCTCACCCCTCCGCTGGCACCATGAATGAGGACGGTCTCCCCAGCTTTGACATGAGCTCTACAACACAACAACTTTAGACACTTAAAATGTTTTGAAACATTTCCCAAGCACCTAGAAATATAGAATTATCTGGGAGCGGATGAGGAGGTGTAAGCACAAGTCTAATACTGTCCACCAGGGGGCAGCATTATGTTCTTCACAACAACAGCTGTATCCCTTTAAATTTGTATGGACTATTGCTTAATGATTGTGTTTCGTAAATGTGACTAAGACATTGTGTTTTTGTGCTTGAACGCATTATACGTGGAGGATAGAATTCACACAGCAGCAGCTCTGGGTTTTGCATTACTGTTTCAAAAGTTTGAGAACGTTTTTAGAAACATAAAAAAAGAATTTAAAAGAAGACTTATCAATCTTAAATGGACAAAAATATCACATGTTTATGTTGCATTTCACCATATTTCTAACTGATAGAATAAATGGTTTGCAGCTTTGGTCCATGTAAGTTGGTTATGCTGAAGTCAGCATTTGCTAACTGTCTTATGTCAGATGCACTGTAAACATGCATCCATCGTATGCACCCTTGTGTCTTCTCCTCTGTAAATGTTTGTTTCGTGATTGTTAAAGCTGACTACCGTTATTCATCTTAATAAGACAGACAGTGAAAAAATTATTTATGTTTGTTAATTGCTATCCAGAACATTTTAACACATACGTCCTGTAAAAGGTTTAAAACGTACACACACAGTTTAACCAAACTAACACCTCAAGAGGAGTAAAAGTAAAATGACTCAAAATACTGATGATTTTCTAATACTGGAATCCGTTTTTAAACCAGATTCTTTAATAAATAACTTATTTCCAGGTAGATCAGTCAAGTCCTTTACAAGAGTCTAACACACACACACACACACACGCAAGCACACGCACACACACACTCACACACACACAAACACATGCACGCATGCACGCACACACACACACACACACACACACACACTTACTTGTGAACGAGAGCTCTGAAGGCAGTGAAGTAAGGTATACCAATGGCTGCTCCCTGGGTGAAGTCCAAGGCTGCAGGCAGCTTGTGAACACAGCCGTCAGCAGCTATAGTGAACTCTGCATATCCTCCAGACTCAGTGGCTGTGGTGAACACACGGTCTCCTTTCTGGAATGCACACACACTCACTCACTGTATTTGTCATGTATATAAAAAAAATTGAATGGATCTAATAAACCAACGCGTTGTTTTCCCCGTCACCTTCACTCTAGTGACTCCCTCTCCAACAGCTTCCACCACTCCAGCCACATCACTACCCGGTGTATATGGCAGGGAAGGCTTACGGGCGTAAGATCCAGAGCGGATGTACGTCTCTACGGGGTTGACTCCACAGGCACGTACATGGATCAAAACCTATATACCATAGAAAAGGATAAAGAAAACCAAACGTAACTTAACTTCTGAATAGTTCATTAGCAGACATGTCTAGAAACAAACCAATCTGGATATGATTTTAATAACATTTTTATAGTATTGCCTTTTTATTGGTATACATGTGGTTTCTGTCTCTTTAATTCTTTTTTGCAATAAAAGTCAAAGAAAATTGTTCGTACATTTATGATTAAGTTGCATATCTACTAGAAAATTAAACATTCATATAGACTTTCTGAAAATCTGAAAGGCTTTCTATGAACTTTGCATGCTTTCTAACCAATTTTCCATCTAAGGGTTAGGGTTATTTGTTTATTTGTACTCAAGAGCAGGACTAATACAGACATGTCAGGCCTACAAAATCAACCTTTCAATTTTTTACAAGTGGACACAACTGGTTCATGCACTTTGTTTTTTATGCCTGAACGATCATGCGGAAATGATCAGAGTTGAGTAGCGTAACAAAACCCCCTCTCTAAAAAAGGTCAGGTGGTATGAAAATTTCTCTCTCTCACACACACACACGCGCGCGCACACACACACACACACACACACACACACACACACACACACACACACACACACACACACACACACACACACACACACACACACACACACACACACACACACACACACACACAGTATTAATAAATCAGGTTACAGATGACCTCTCATTACTTACTAAACTGACATTTTTTTAACTAAAATAGGACAGACAGAAACATTTTAGTGAAGGCAGAGAGGTAATTTTCACAAAGCTGCAGACAAGAGTCCATCTCCACCTGTGATCCACTCACCTGTCTGAGTGCAGGCTGAGGAACAGTCACACCAGAGCACAGCTGGAGGACAGCTGGAGCTCCAAACTCACTCACTCTGATGGCTCTCATCAGCTTGCTGCCCGACATGAGAAAAGAACTAGAAAACACAGAAGACACTAAACAAATAAAGTAAACGCTCTTCTTCTTCTGGGGAATTTTATGCTCATATTGGCGCATCAGTGCCCTCGTCTGTGAGGCCAGGAAATTAATACAATGTTATTTTATTATTATTAAAAGACTAGTCCAAGGACGATAAAAATAACACAAGTTTGGAAATATAGACACATGTTGTTTTTCTGTCTCTAATGTCTATCCCCGCATAAACATGACATTAGTAATTATTTCTAATGACGTTTTAACACCCGTCCCCCGCTCCCCATTGTGTGCGTATTTAAAGGATATATTTTGTATCGGTTTTCATCAAAAATGAAAAGAGAACAAATAGTGGACGAATGACTTTTAAGTAGGCTTATGTTGACATATTTACACATGTTTGATCTTTAAAAAAATTGGTTCTTTGTTTTTATATATAGAACTTGTAATTAGAAATGTTTGTATTATATATTTGTATTGCTGTTATTTGTTTTCTCATTGTTATTTTTAGCACTTTAAGCGCTGTGATGATCAAAAATTCGGTTTTAGACAGATGATCGATGATTTTTGGATCCATTAGTTCTGTCTACAATCATGGCAGGACATCCGTTTACGCAGCGCTGATTTCTAAACCAAATAGATGAGATAGTTGATAGTTGTTTTAGCCAATTTGTATGAGTAGAGATTCGTGAAATGCTCGGACCTAAAGTAAGGTAACACGGAACCAGTCAGATGAGAAAAGTGACCGCGGGTTTCATTACAACATGGTCGGGCTCTTTAGTGTTTAATAACATGTTACTACCGTCAGAAGATCAATGAAGTTGCATTTCTCCATGTGGGAAGAGCCTTCTTTAGCTTGTTTCACACAGTCAGATACTAACTGAGATTTAGCCAGCACTCGGTTGCATCACTCTATCGCTGGGCTTTACTTAGTTTTGGTCGGAAATGTCATTAAGAAGTAGAATGTTGCTGCAGAGGGTTCTGTTTGCTCTAAAAGCTCACAATGTTCGGTACCGTCAGACCTCAGGAGCGGGGAGTGTTCTGTGGGAGACTCCAGTGAGACCATTGTGTTGCTCAAACAGGCGTCACGCGCCTGCACCTGCCTCCACCGGTACATTCATTTCTAATCTAGTAATTATAAATGTGTTAGTGTGCTGAATGGCTCCAGCTTGGGTAGTTTGCTCTGATTTGCTGCTAGGTCCCAGCAGCCTGTCATTCAGAAGTCACACCTGTGGGGAGCTCAGATCAGATCACGTGGGTCAGAAGGTCACTCTGTGTGGCTGGGTCCAGTACCTCAGGTGAGTTGCTCTTTGAGCTCTTCATCAACAGAGATGAAATCAGTAGAGCTTGACTGATCAATCTGGAAACTTTGTCAGCTGCACTAATAATCATCATCGATCATTACAGGCTATTTGTACCCTATGACGTTTCACACAAGTATATATCTTTTTCTCCCTCCAACAGACAAGACTTATTTGTCATCCTGAGAGACTTTAGTGGCTTGACACAAGTTTTAATCCCTCAAGAAGAGGTATAAAAAATAATGAAATGCTGTTTGTTCTAATAAAAATCAATAGATAATTATAGAAAATTATTTGTGTTTTTACTGATTTCAGTCTGCAAACAATCTGAAAGCAGCGCTGTGTGGCCTGGCTGTGGAGTCTGTCGTCAAGGTTACAGGAACAGTCAGAAAAAGACCAGCAGGACAGGAGAACAAGGTTTGTGTGTGTGTGTGGTTATAAAAGCCAAGTCCTGAATTTTACATGAAAATGTATTATTAACTATAAGTAACATCTTGTTGCTCTCAGCTAGTTATGTCTAGATCGGTCAACAAAACTTTCATTAACCTGTTCTCTATAATCATGATTTTATTGACCATGGATTCATTTTAGATGTTACTGCTGGTTTGTGAGTAGATCTGACTAATTGGAAAATATTTTCCTCTCTATTAGTCTAAGAGTAATGGGATGCATCAGTTAAACACAGCTCACCATGGGACTTGTTTCTTTGTGTTCCAGAAAAAAGGTAGCTTAGACTTGATTATTTCATGATTGGTGTTTCGTATTCAAACCTTCTGCTTTATACTTGGATATTAAATCATCAGATCATGGTGTACCATCAGATGTAGCAGAATTAGGACTCTGTACCGTGTGTTGTTGTTCCTGAATCAGGACGTGAACTTGTGACACATGGGTGGAAAAATCTGAACTTCTAACCACTACATCACATAAACACAAGGGGACGATTCTGCTGTAGCATCCATAAATCTGTCTCCTCCTGCGGCTGCCTTCTTTCCAGTTGATGCCAACAGGAGAAATAGAGATTCTGGCTCAGAACTTGGAGGTTTTTAATATTTGTCGGAAGCTGCCCTTTGAGATGAAAGAGTTTGTCAAAGTAAGTTCCCCCTCACATCTAAACCAGTGCACACATTTTATTTGTTAGTTGCCATCATAGTTAAAATGATTTTGTATATCTGTTGGACTGCGCAGAAATCGGAGGCTTTGCGGATGCAGTATCGGTACCTGGCCCTACGGTCGTCACAGATGCAGAAGAATCTCAGACTCAGATCTCAGCTGGTGATGAAGATGAGGGAATATCTCTGTAATGTGCACGGTATGATGGTGGGATGGATTTATTCAACTTGCCTCGAGGTGGCAAAGAATCCATTTGTCTTTTTCCCAATCTGTAGGATTTGTGGATGTGGAAACACCCACCTTGTTCAAAAGAACTCCGGGGGTGAGACGATTCTCAGGTGTTTTTAAATGCATCATTCACCTTCAGCAGAATTACTGAACCCATGGTGTGTGTGTGTGTGTGTGTGTGTGTGTGTGTGTGTGTGTGTGTGTGTGTGTGTGTGTGTGTGTGTGTGTGTGTGTGTGTGCGCGTGCGTGTGTGTGTGTGTGTGTGTGTGTCTGCGCGCGTGTCTCTCAGGGGGCAAAAGAATTTGTGGTTCCTTCCAGAGAACCGGGTTTGTTCTACTCTCTGCCACAGAGTCCCCAGCAGTTTAAACAGCTCCTGATGGTGGCAGGTGTAGACAGGTGGGTGTCCAGCTCGCTGATCTGAGCGTACAAGCATCTGCATCGTTACAGCCACCTTGTTTGTGTTCCTGTGCCCTGTTTTATCTGTCTGGATACGATGGTGGTTTGTGGTATTTTCACACAATAAGATGGACAAGATTAGATTCTGAGTTAGGTGAACATGAGTGTTGGACTTAAACTCTTCTGACAGACAGAATCATACTTATATTGGTGCTAATGTTGCAGTTTGATTCAGTAATATATTTTATACCGAGTTATAAAAAGTTAACAGAAAAGAGATTTTAAAGGGATGTTGTTTAATTTTTTGTTTGTATTTTTAGTTCATTTTCTTGTGCCAGTATGTGCTAAAACGACCCTTTACAGGGTTAATGAAGTGTCACTCAACACCATCTGTGGCCAGAATACCGCATTTGCAGCTTCAGAGTACCGGTCCGGTCACTGTTACACTTACATATCTGGCGTTGCAGTCTGCTTCCAGCATGTTTCCTGCTTGTTTTAAATAATTAACACAGCTGGGTTTAAAATTTCATAACTAAGCTTAATTTTATGCAATTTTAATCCTAAAATATTCTACAATTATAGCACAGTTTTAAACAGTTACATAATCAGTAGCACACTGACTCTATAATGATATGAAATCTCTTAGCTTTATGAAGCCAGAGAGACAAAAAACCATAATCGTTTGTATCAGGGGTGGGGAACCCTTGTCCTTCAGAGCAGGTACCCTGTATGTTTTAGATGTTTTCCTGCTCCAATACTCTTGATTCAGATCGTTGATTCACCTGTTAAACAGCTCATTGAGCTCTACAGAAGCCTGTTAATCACCTGCTGATTAAACTTTGGTGTGTTGAAGCAGGGAAACAACTAAAACATGCAGGATAGCCACCCTCGGCGAACCAGGATTCTCCACCTGGGATAATGGGATAATTTAATACGTAATGTTCTGCATCCTGAAAATGTTTTTTTCTGCTGACTGGGCTTGTTAAATGATTCTAGTTGACTAAATGAGAGGAAGACATGCCTAATAAAGCTTCTGTTTACAGCTTTACCTGCTGTAACGTTTACTGATTCATTCGCCAGGTACTTCCAGATCGCTCGGTGCTACAGAGACGAAGGCTCCAAACCAGACCGGCAGCCAGAGTTCACACAGGTGAGCCTGAAGAAAACCTGATTGTTATGTTCAGTAAAATCCTCTGAATTCTTTCCTCTTTTTTTGAACCTGGTCCTTGACGCTTGTTGGTCTGTTACCTGGCTGGACACGCTCACCTCACTGTCTCCTCCAGGTGGACATAGAGATGTCTTTCGTGGACCAGGCAGGGATCATGGCTCTGGTGGAGGGAATGCTCCAGTTCTCCTGGCCTGCAGAAAAAGGACCGCTTCAGGTTCCTTTCCAGGTGATGACGTATAACGAAGCCATGAGGGACTACGGCGTGGACAAGCCTGACACCAGATTTAACATGAAGGTGGGTGAGATGAGCTCTTAATAATTGCAAATAACCCTGAAATGTAACTCAGTCTGAATCTTATTGTTATCAAAATGCAGCTGAGTTTCCTTGAAAACGTGTTTTTGGAGACAGAGTGTCTGCCCACTTTGAGAAGACGTGTCCATCTCTGAAGGCTGTGATAGCTGCATCTGGTTGTTGACAGAAAGAAAAGTATCAGAGTTTTCTAATCCGGGTTGAGATACGGTGGATTTCATGGCCGTGAGTCTTCTCACTGTGACAGCTCTACCTCTCAACTGTAATATGTTTTATTGTTGAGTTCAGTTTTAAAGCGTCAAACTAGTTAAAATCATCTCAACCTAAATAAACTCGTTCTTTATCCATCTCTGTCTTGTGTTTAACACCCTTTTCACATTTTTACAGGACGTGATTTTCAAAAGCACCCAAAAGATTACCTGAAAAAGAATTTTTTTTCTCACATTTTGACAAATATGTGATTTAAGAATCCACACACGTGATATAAAATGATATAAAACCATTAAAAAGTCCTCAAACTTGCTTTTTGATGACCACAATTTATATTCTTTATTTCCCATAAAATGTTAGAAGTGAAGCACTGGGATGAGAATCAGCTCCTCTAAATCTGTGAAAAAGGGTAAAATGCCGTCTCCGGGTCAGGGACGAGGTCCTGCCTCAAGTGGAGGATCTCGGGGTCTTGTTCATGGGTGAGGGAAAGATGGAGGGCAAGATCGATAGGCGGATTGGTGCTGCGTTTGCAGTGATGCGGGTGTTGTATCGGTCTGTCGTGGTGAAGAGAGAGCTGAGCCTGGTCGATCTACGTTCCTACCCTCACCTGTGGCCACGAGCTTTGGGTAGAGACTAAAAGAATTAGTTCGCGGATACAAGCGGCAGAATTGAGTTTTCTTCGCAGGGTGTCTGGGCTCTCCCTTAGAGATAGGGTGAGAAGCTCGGTCATCCGGGAGGGGCTCGGAGTAGACCCGCTGCTCCTCCACATCGAGAGGAGCCAGTTGAGGTGTCTCCGGCATCTAGTTAGTGTGCCTCCTGGACTCCTCCCTGGTGAGTTTTTCCAGGCATGTCCAACTGGGAGGAAACCTAAAGGGAGACCCAGGAGACGCTAGTGGGACTACGTCTCTCATCTGGCCAGGGAGCACCTTAGGATTCCCCCGGAGGAGCTGGCCCAAGTGGCTGGGGAGAGGGAAGTCTGGGCCTCTCTGCTTAGGCTGTTACCCCAGTGACCTGACTCCAGCTAAGTGGAAGATAATGGATGGATGTTAGATGTGAAATGCATTTTCTCATCTAAACCTTTTCCTTTAATTTCATATTCCAGAATTTGTTATGACTAATATAAAATGATCTGCATTCTAATGTTTCTACTGAGTTATTCCATGGGTTTGGTGGAAAGAGATGATGATGCATACTTTGCCATACCTGATTAATGCATTTTCATTCTCCTTCAGCTGATCGACCTCAGTGAGGTTTTCTCATCCACTAAAATAGAGTTCCTCAGGTCAGCTCTCAGCCAATCAGAAGGTTCCATTCAGGCCATCTGTGTGCCAAGTGGAGCGGTAAGAACAAACCCCGTTGTTAAACTGACGTGAAGAAGTTCATGGCTCTGTTGAAAACGTGCTCATGAACTGCTGATATTCATTCATTTTGACACTCTTCCATTTGTTTATGTTAATCAATGTTTTCTGTCTTGTTTGTTGAAAGAAACATTTTACTGGAAAAGATCTGGATGTGCTGAAGCAAACAGCCAAGGCTCAGTTTGGACAGGTAGACGTGTCTCCAAATTGTTATAATTCTGCGGCTCTGATCTGATTGGATTCAAATCAAATGTCTTTTTAAATAAGCGGCTATAAAATATTTGTTTGCGTATCTTTTACAAAAGGAGCTGAGCCTGGTGCTGGTCAGGGACGATGGTACATTAAAGTCCCCTCTGAAGAAGCTGCTATCTGTTCCTGAAACAGAAAATCTGCTGAGTAGAGCTGAAGCCAAGCCTGGAGACCTGCTGCTGATAGCAGCCGGATCCCTCCGTGTTGTGGTAACACACCAGAATAAGGACAGGTTGATGGTGGGAAGGATGGATAAATATTAAGTTTGTCTTCTTCTGTCCCTCTGCTGTCAGCTCCCACTGCTTGGTAATCTTCGTCTCCAGTGTGCTCAGCTCCTTGAGTCTCATGGCCTTTCACTCCGAGACCCCTCTGCCTTCCACTTCCTGTGGGTTGTGGATTTCCCGCTTTTCTTACCCAAAGAAGATAATCCAGAGGAGCTGGACTCGGCTCATCATCCTTTTACTGCTCCACGTACAGAGGACACGGACCTACTCCTGTCAGAGCCACACAAGGTGCTCTCATTGAGTCTCTTTTGTATCCATGCGGTAAAGAACAGATGATTTGAACATTACAGGTGACTGTAGCTGTATATAACAGGTGCGCGGGCAGCACTATGACCTGGTGTTGAACGGCTGTGAGATTGGAGGAGGCTCCATTCGTATTCATAAAGCATCGCTGCAGCTTCACGTGTTGAAGAATATCCTCAAGGTTGTTGGTGTTTGCTTCTCTCATCTAACAAGTGGACAGATCATTAGTTATTAAATGTTTATAAAATGATCAACATGTTGTTTTCTGGCAGGAGGACCCAAGTCTCCTTTCTCACCTGCTAGAGGCCCTTGATTCAGGAGCACCACCTCATGGAGGCATTGCTCTGGGTGAGATAAACTGCTTTTTTATTACATGAACAGATGTTCTTGTTGAACGGCCTCAGTTTGTTGAAACAGAGTTCAACAGTGACTGGACTGATGAACTAACAGCTAGTCTGAGCAGGGCGTTAAAGTGAATAAAACGACTTCAATCTCAACCTTTATAAATATTTACATTGCCGTCAAAATAATGAGCTGAAAATGTATCTTTTTCCTCTAGGTTTGGATCGGCTGGTTTCCGTTGTGGTTGGAGCTTCCAGCATCCGTGACGTTATTGCCTTCCCCAAGTCGTTCCGGGGTCATGACCTCATGAGCCACGCCCCCGACACGGTCTCTGAGGAGGAGCTGAAGCCCTACCATATTTCTATCAAATGGCCAACAGAACAGAGAGGAGGAGGAGGAGGAGGAGGATCAGCCGGGAAATGAGAAGATGATAGACTCATATCAGAAATGTTGATGAAAAGGAGACATACTGACTTGAAGAGTGCAACACTGACCATCCTGTTGCTCAGAAGAGAAAAGGAGAGAAATAAGAGCTTGTGGAAAAGATAATGTGTGTAATTAGTAATAGTTGGAAATAATATATTTGGAGCAAAGTGGAATTCTGAAACACAGGAAGTAGCTAAAAACTACACTTTCTGTTATTTATTATTCACACAAGGATTTATAAAAGCAAACTTTTCTATAAAACTTCTATCTAAAGACCCAATTTTCTCTTAAATCTTTGGAGCAGCTTTTTTTCTAGCATTGGTGACAAGTTTTGAACAATCCACCTCAACAAGGATCCTGTTCTTAGAATAGATTGTAACCTGGAGCTGAAATTCCATTTAACGCACAGTGAACTTTTGTTTGAAATGTTTAGTTTTCATTGATGCTATTTCTGATAAACAAGCATGATAGAATGAATTCACATCATGCTGAGGCACATATTAATGTATTTGCTGTAAAATAAGTAATAATAACAGAATGTGAGTTTATCAGCAGATGAGATGATTTAGTTTATATTTTCTTGTGTTTGTTACTAGAGATGACACTGTCAAAGCAAGACGTCTCAAGTAAAAAAAACTAAAATTTATATCAAATTAGCTGGACCTTCTCTCGGTGTTTAAATCCGAATTCAGCAATGAAGTTCTAAACAGCAAAAGCACTTCCGGTTTAGGGGGTGACGATGGCAGTCTAATCCGGAAGTGGAACTGAAGTGTTATTTGTACGTCGCTGGGGGAAAATGACAGAACAGAGATGTGATTGTTCTGTTCTGCCTTCGACACAAGTGGACTGTTGGCTCATATCAGCGAGTTAACGGTGAAGATAAGGAGCCGCCAAGCTGTCCGAGACACGGAATGTTGAGTCGAACGGAGTCAGCTTTTTCGTGAATCTCACGACGCTGCGGGGCTGGTTAACTACCAGAAACCAGCCTGTGGTTGGTGTTTCTCTTCTTTTCAGCTCGCATTGTTCGGACTGTTCAGATATTTTTTCGTAAAGCTGCTCAATCGGTTTGAAGCGACACCGGTGATTGAGACGGACACGTCAGCTATCCGTATTCCTCGACACTAGCACGAGAGTCTTCCACAGGTAACCATGGCTCCAATGGGTATCCGGCTGTCACCTCTCGGTGTGGCCGTGTTCTGCCTGCTTGGACTCGGTGTCATCTACCACTTATATGCCGGAGTCCTCTCCAACCGCATTTCTTTTTTCAGGTCAGATTATTTATGTTTTTCTCAGATTGTTTTAATTGACATCACTTCACTGTTCACTGACTGTTTTCTAATGATGTCAGAGCCCCGCTGGGCCATAAGGAGGTCCAACATGTATTCTGGCCCCATGCCTTTGAGTGATTTATAAACTAGTAGAAGTACTTTGAAATAGATTGTGTTGTTTACTGGTAACCAGTGTAGAGAATTAAGAACAGGTATGATATGCTCGATTCTCTTGGTTCTTGTTAAGACTCTAGCAACAGCATAAGCTGCAGTTGCTTCACAGCTTTTTGGAGAAGACCAGTCAAAAGACCATTGCAGCCTGCTGGAGATGAATGCATGAATGAGTTTTTCCAGATCTGGTCTGGACATGAGACATCTGGGTCTTACTATTTGATGAAGACGATTAAATGCTGATCTAGTTATAGTCTTAATTCGATCCGTGAAGCTCAGGTCTGAACGAAATATGAAGCAGAGATTTCTAAAGGAAATCTTTACTTCAAGCTAAGTGTTTTAACCCTCCCACTGTCCTAATGGGTGTGACCCCGTGAGGAAAGTTGACCATTGAGCAGGGTTGATGGTTTATCCCTTGGGTCCATGTGGCAGGGGTGAGGAGTGAGCACCACCTCACCCCTGCCACGTGGACCTCAAGGGATAAACCATCAATCCTGCTCAATGGTCAACTTTCCTCGCAGGGTCACCCATAAAGACAGTAGAAGGGTTAAAAAGCTTGTCAGTGGTGTGATCCTTCGTTAAATTGCTGTAGTTGGGACTTAGTCACTTGGCACCCAGGTCAAAAACAAATACTTCATTGTATAACAGAAGATTTTCAGGTCCAGCTTGTTGGAGGAGTGATCAGGGTGTTATACATATTTGTGGAGGATTTTTGAAACCAGTCTGACCGTAAATCTGATGGCAAATGTGTTTAAGACCTGCTCTTAACAGGATATACTTGCACCCTAACAAATACTAGTGGTCCATGCAGCCTACTGTTTTTTAAGCTAGTTTTATTTGTACAGGTTTTTTGGTACACATCTGTTTTTTACCAAATAAAATTATTGTATTTTTTGTTAATTTTTCATCACAAACATTCTTAGAAGAGACACAAGTTTGGAGGAAAACTTTAACAGGATATAATTGGGTCATATTAACTATCATACTGTTGATGGTTACATTTGTAGTTTGTTTGTCTTTTTACAGATGGCTGAATGCTCTTTTTGTTTTTAGATTTTCTATGAAGTCTTTTGCTATCAGATGTTATCTTTATTCTCTCTTCCTTACTGCAGGCAGCCGAAGAAGGTGGATCTGACAGACCTGCTGGCTGTCTCAATTGAAGCTGCAAGAATGGGTGGTATAGAGGTAAAAACTCTTGATTTTAGTTAAGTTTAGCTAATAAAACTATGTCTTTCAAAATGTTTTAGTGTGAGGACTGTTATTGCAGAGCTGTAATGGCTGCTTTGATAAACTTGAAGATATTCAAATTTTCTCACTACTTCACAGGTCAGTAGTTTTCTTTCAAACACATTTCTGATCTCACTGAACAGTTTTTTATTACAGTTTCTATTAATTATTAAAGTATTGGATGAATATGTTTTACTATAGCGTTAAATGTATGGCTTTAGTGTTTCAGTCTTTTATTTTTATTTTTTTCATTTATCACTTGACTTTTACCTTTTCTGTCAAATCGTATGACAACAATAACCTCTTCATGCTGTTAGAGCTGTAGCCTTCTCTTTCTAGTCATGCTGTGTTTCTTTCCTCGTGGTTTCTTTCTACATTGAGGTGGAAAGTTAAAGAGCAAGTCACCCCCTACCAGATTATTACTCCACTCCCACTTCCTTTTTGAAAAATGCAACAAATGCTGTTGCCTAGGAGACCAAAAGGGCGGAGCCGCTAACAAATACACACACACATGCTGAGTCTCTATTCAGGGTCTGCATCCTTCGAAGGACCCAGCCTACTCGGCCGACGTGGGCTCGTTCTCCGTCGGCCAGGTAGACCGGATGTTAACGGCTGTGTATTTGGACAGGCCAAGCCTTCATTAATTCCTGCCACTCCCTCAGCATTCCGTCGCCTAGCAACCGTGGAACCGCTGAGAAGGAACTTTAAACGATGGAGCTCGAAGTTTTATTTAGCTTTTTAATAATTTCCTTGACTGTTGGAGAGCTAATTCAGAGAAAATACTTTCAACAAGCTGAGCCTGAGCAAAGATGTGATAATAGTTTTTATACTTTCTAAAGGTCCTGACCAAAACCGATTTATCACCTTTTAAGCCTTTTCAAGACCCAGCGGATACCCTGTATTATTAAACAATTCACAATTGTAAACTAAAATAAAATTCAAGAGTTTAATACAGAACTGATTTTCTTTAGATATTTCTTTTATATCTGCATGTTTAAAGGGTCATTATGGAAGTTTGACAGCCAAAACATGTATAGAAATAATAAAGTTCTTCTTAATACATTCTCCTGCAATGCCCTGGCCCTGTAGAATGAGCCCTGGCATTTTTACTGCGATTGCCTGTTTTTCTGTAAAATCACAGAAAAAGAGAGCTGCTCGGGTCGAGCAGGCTGCTTCATGCGCGTTCACGCTCAGGCATAGCCTGTAGCATTTGCTATCAGTAGCTTTAGCAGCAGAGAGTGAGGTAGTGCCAACTCAGCGACTTTGTCGCTGTTCCTAACGCCTAGTGATGAACCTAGCTACATTTCTGGGGACCCTTAGCTACTTTCTGTAGAACTTTCTTCTACATATTTCCTGCAAATTAGCAACAAAATAGCCATTTTCGCTCATAACTGTTCTTTGAACGTTGTTTCAGCTGTCATCAAGGACTACACGTGTCTGCAGCACGATTAGACACTCACTTAAATAGTTTATCAGAAAAAAAAGTTAATTTGGGGGTGACTTGCTCTTTAATGAAAATTCTGCAAGCTCGTTGGTTTCTTCTTTTAGTTTAGAAATTATAGCATTACACAAATGGCCATTAAAGGTACAATATGTAAGACTTTTATAACGAAATAGTCACAGAACAGTCTAATGTTTCAGTCACGTTGGAAGGAAGGTTACATTGAAACAGACGTCTTTCTCAGCCGGCTGGGGTTGTCAGTTTCTTTCTCTCTTTTTTTTAATGGCTAAAAAGGGACGTAGTCTTTGTTTACGGTTTGTGAGCCCGTGAGGTTGCTGAGTCTGTACCAACATTTATAAAAGGACAACGTCCAGCAAAACGCAGCACTGTTTTTGACCGTATGTTACTTCTTGTAACCCAAAGCAGCCACAGCGTCTTTTTTGTTTTACTCAGGAGAAGCAAGCTAGATGCTAACTGGGAATTAGCAACAAATAGTTGGCTCTGAAAATATCTCAAGCTCCTTTTTTCAATTAGCAACAACTCAATATTACAGTGAAATATATTTAAGCTCTTATCAACTTATTGTAATCGACACGATTTTGCTCATCATCTGGAATCTTCTTATGCTGATCCGTAGCTGGCAGCAGACATCAAACTCACTGACGGGAGGAGGGAGAGTCACTTGTTTGTTATGAAACATAGGCCGCAGTACCCAAATCTGACCACAGGGTGTCACTGATTCTGTGCACGTTTAATCCGTGATTTGTTCAGTTGCTTGTTTTTTTTTTTCATAACATCCATTTGGAAAGTAGTATTATTAAAAGATTTTATGAAGTGCCTGAAAAGGATTATTACTGTAAACCAAATCAACTGGTGGAGTATGTAATGAATGTTTTTCTTCTCCTGTTCAGGTGAAAAAAGTTCGTGATGATAACACTCTGGAGGAGAAGGCGAAGGGTGAGACGAGAGAGGGAGCCAAAGAGCTTCTGACTCAAGGCGACATGCACTCTCACAGAAAGATGTTTAACTTCATAAAGAACACGTTTCCTGACATCACGGTGAGCACAGATAAAACTACTCTCTCACCATCGTGGGGTTGAAATTCTTTTCAACTATAATTTCATATAATTTAGGAAATAATTCAAAACCAAAGATTCTATGAAATCGTAGCTTTGATCCTGTAAAATTAGAGTTGAAGCTTATTGAAGTTGATTTACGTTGCAAAAGGTTATACTTTCTGGTGGTTTGTGTTCAAGGTTCACAGTGAGGAACGCGACAACAGCGCAGACTCGGTTAGCTGGAACCAGGAGATTCCAGCTGATATCCTAACCAAGGTCAAAAAAGGTCACGATGTTCCTGCTGAGAGCATCACTGTTTGGATCGATCCTCTGGATGCAACTCAGGAGTACACAGGTGTGATCAGCTAGCTGCTTAGATTTGAAATCTTGTCATTAAAGTGCTGACCTTAACCTCTCCTTTCCACCGGAGCCGTCAGCAGCGCGAGTCGGCCGTGTCTCAGGAGCAGCATGTCGCGGCCCTTACGCGCCGGTTCTATTTTCTATGCGCTACGCCTCTGAAACGGGTCAAGTTCGACATTTTTGGGGAAGGAAAGACAGGAAATCGGACGCGGAAACGGAGCGAAGCTTTCCGAGATTTTCAGAATAAAGAAACGTACTGCCCCGTGAGAAGTTATCACCTAGCTAGCGGTCTCCTTTGTTTTTCAGGTCCGTATTGGCGATTATAAAACGGACAGAACATAAAACACAAACCTTTTGGAGCCATGTTGTAGTTTTCTCCTGCTTGTTGCTGTGTTTACTGACGAAGTCACTCGTGTGGCTTCGTGCTCTGTCTGTCGGTGACAGCTGCTCCCCTGCTGCTATGCGTCTCTGGTGGGAAGGGCCAAGCAGCACCTTACGCGAGCAACACGTGCTGCTGACGGCTCCGGTAGAAAGGAGGGGCAAGGCTTCGCCTCCCATTTCTGAAGTATCCTCTGATTTTGACGTGCTGCCTTCATTCAGACGATACCCACGTAAAACAAATCGGCTCCGACTTTCCTTTATTCTACTGGAGAATTTTAGATTGTTTTACTTTCAATTTTAGTAAAATTCCAAATTAGCTGAATAAATTAACATCCAGAATCCCATCAATAAACAACTAAATATAATTGAATGCTGCTACTGCTTTAAAAAAGTCACCAGAGACAAACGGTCCATATGAGGATTACGCCGACCTCGTGTTTTCTTCACATTGTGTTACTTCCCTTCTCTGTCCCCACAGTTCTCTTGAAATCTGATCTTTTTTCTGCAGAAAACTTGGTTAAGTTTGTAACCACTATGGTGTGTGTAGCTGTCGACGGTAAACCTGTTATTGGGGTCATACACCAGCCATTCACGGACTTTACTGGTAAGTTGTTTTCAAACGTAACCGTTTTAGTTTAGCTTTTATAATCTAACATGTGTCTGTATTATCTAAGGCTTATGCAGCTCCTCCTCCTGGGCGACTTTGGGCCAAAATGTGAACTTTGGTATAGTTAAAATAAAAAAAATAATGAACTTGCCTTCTTGCTGTTTGCTTCCTCAGCCTGGGGCTTTGTGGATCAGGGATCAAACATGCGACCCAGGAAGTCCTACAGCATCGTCTCGCCAAAGGTGATCGTATCACGCTCTCATTCTGGAGAAGTCAAGAACCTTGCCAGGAACGCTTTTGGAAACACAACAGTAATCCCAGCCGGCGGAGCAGGTGGGAAGAAATAATCGAATTCTTGTAAATTATTGTTTTAAAGTCTTAAAAGGAGAAATAATTATTTATACCATTCAGTCACTATTTTTACTGCAGGTATTCTAAAACCCGGGCCACGCTCAGATGAAGGTGAACGCACAAACCGATCCAGACGTAGCAGACATACATACGGATCCAAGCACATTTTTACATTGTACACTTTGTACATCCCAATAAACATGGGACTGCTGAGGACATGAGGGGAATGCCAGACACTTCCCCTCAACACATCTCTAATAAAACATTCAAATTGACTAAATTATACTCTTGAGGTGACTTTTGGCACTGCACGTTTAAAAATCCTACATTTACATACAGAAATGGAGAAACTTGACAGAATATAAGGTGGTGACCGTATTAAATGAGGATGAAGTGTGTTAAACTTAGGACTTGGTGCTCGGTTCTCTTCATCAGAACAGAGTGCTCCAGTCCAGTGAAACACTAGATGTGTGTTTAGGGCTTAAAGCAGAATTCTCACACGGATGAGTGTTTGATCACATTCTGATGTTGGGTCAAACTGTACTGATCGAGCTCTTCAGCTGAGACAGTGGCCTTCGTGTTTATGATGGGAATGGGACTGATAGAAAGTTCTTATCACCACAATAACGTGTAACTTAGCAAGAGACTGTTGCTTTTCATATATGACCTTTATTTTTACAGGGAGTGCAGAATTATTAGGCAAGTTGTATTTTTGAGGAATAATTGTATTACTGAACAACAACCATGTTCTCAATGAACCCAAACAACTCATTAATATCAAAGATGAATGTTTTTGGAAGTAGTTTTTAGTTGGTTTTTAGTTTTAGCTATTTTAGGGGGATATCTGTGTGTGCAGGTGACTATTACTGTACATAATTATTAGGCAACTTAACAAAAAACAAATATATACCCATTTCAATTATTTATTTTTACCAGTGAAACCACTATAACATCTCCACATTCATAAATATACATTTCTGATATTCAAAAACAATACAAAAACAAACCAGCGACCAGTATAGCCACCTTTCTTTGCAAGGACACTCAAAAACCTGCCATCCATGGATTCTGTCAGTGTTTTGATCTGTTCACCGTCAACATTGCGTGCAGCAGCAACCACAGCCTCCCAGACACTGTTCAGAGAGGTGTACCGTTTTCCCTCCTTGTAAATCTCACATTTGATGATGGACCACAGGTTCTCAATGGGGTTCAGATCAGGTGAACAAGGAGGCCATGCCATTAGTTTTTCTTCTTTTATACCCTTTCTTGACAGCCACGCTGTGGAGTACTTGGACGCGTGTGATGGAGCATTGTCCTGCATGAAAATCATGTTTTTCTTGAAGGATGCAGACTTCTTCCTGTACCACTGCTTGAAGAAGGTGTCTTCCAGAAACTGGCAGTAGGACTGGGAGTTGAGCTTGACTCCATCCTCAGCCCAAAAAGGCCCCACAAGCTCATCTTTGATGATACCAGCCCAAACCAGTACTCCACCTCCACCTTGCTGGCGTCTGAGTCGGACTGGAGCTCTCTGCCCTTTACCAATCCAGCCACGGGCCCATCCATCTGGCCCATCAAGACTCACTCTCATCTCATCAGTCCATAAAACCTTAGAAAAATCAGTCTTGAGATATTTCTTGGCCCAGTCATGACGTTTCCGCGTGTGTGTCTTGTTCAGTGGTGGTCGTCTTTCAGCCTTTCTTACCTTGGCCATGTCTCTGAGTATTGCACACCTTGTGCTTTTGGGCACTCCAGTGATGTTGCAGCTCTGAAATATTGCCAAACTGGTGGCAAGTGGCATCTTGGCAGCAGCACGCTTGACTTTTCTCAGTTCATGGGCAGTTATTTTGCACCTTGGTTTGTCCACACGCTTCTTGCGACCCTGTTGACTATTTTGAATGAAACGCTTGATTGTTCGATGATCACGCTTCAGAAGCTTTACAGTTTTAAGACTGCTGCATCCCTCTGCAAGATATCTCACTATTTTTGACCTTTCTGAGCCTGTCAAGTCCTTCTTTTGACCCATTTTGCCAAAGGAAAGGAAGTTGCCTAATAATTGTGCACACCTGATATTGGCTGTTGATGTCATTAGACCACACCCCTTCTCATTACAGAGATGCACATCACCTAATATGCTTAATTGGTAGTAGGCTTTCGAGCCTATACAGCTTGGAGTAAGACAACATGCATGAAGAGGATGATGTGGACAAAATACTCATTTGCCTAATAGTTCTGCACTCCCTGTAATAGCAGTGATTTCTTCCATGGTCTTATTTTGACGTGTGTGTGTGTGTGTGTGTGTCATACAGGATACAAGGTCCTGTCACTGTTGGAGATGCCTTCAAATGAAGAAAACAATATTGATCAAGCAGATGTTTACATCCACATCACCTTTATTAAGAAATGGGACATTTGTGCTGGTGCTGCACTATTGAAGTCACTTGGTAATGAAAACTAAAGACTACAATCATCTGTAGTTAGACTTGTTTTTAGATTTTGTTGAATTTTCTTTCAGTTATTTTTGAGGGAAGGGTCTTTAAAAGCTTCCAGTAGACTTGTGTAGAGTAAAAATTACATGTTGATGTGTTTGTTTCCAGGAGGTCACATGACCACTCTGAAGGGAGAGGACATCGACTACAGTGGAACTCCTCTCAATACAGGTGGGCTAGTGGCCACTGTAGGTTTGGATCACAAGGCTGTCCTGGAGAAACTACCGGAGTGGGACCCTGAAAAGCACTGAGACACAAAAACACAGAATCGCTGGAGGCTGAGCCGCCCTGTGGTGATGCTGCAGCCATTTCCTGTTCCTACAAACTGACTCTGAACATTAAAGACATGCGGGGTTGGGTTTCACCAACATGGGCAGGACAGTGGATCCGCACAACAGCTCTGAATTCACACGCTTGCATCAGCTTGGAGACATGCCACATCCTCAAGAACTTATCTAAAAACACACACAGTGACCGACTTCCTCTCCTTTTACAACCTAAAACTCTATTAAACAGGTTATTCCAAAAAGACATCATCTTTCATTACTCATTCTTAAACTAGACTCTTTGAGCTCAAACAAGTAAAATAATAAAGTAATTTAGAAATGATTCGCCAAGTTAAAACAAAGCTCTGAGGGTGATCGAGTCTCCCTCAGCTGAACACTGATTACATCACATGCTCCGTTTAATAACAACTTATAGGAACAGACATTTTTTCTAGATGCCATCATACTCTTTATTTATTTCCCCCGACATGAATGAAGCACAATTTATCTACTAGAACTGTCTGCAAAGCGGTGAAGCAGCGTGGGTGCTGCAGGACTCGGTAGTGGCGAGAAACGAGGTGGATCTTCTGTGTTTATCCTGAACTTAAACACTGGACACACTTTTCCTTTTGGAGCGACTCTTCAAGCAAAAGAGTTTGATGCCTTTGGAATCATCTTCCTTTTAATTCAGCAACGACCCAATCACGAGGCAGAATCCAAGCTGGAGCCCAGTTCAGTATCCTTTCATGTCTTCTAAAGTCCAGACAACAAGCCGGTGTCCTCTCCTGAGCATGCACACATCCTGTGAAATGTGCCGTTTCATTTTAGATTTCTACTAAAAGGAAGTTTAGATACTGTTGGACACTTCTGGAGGGAAAAAGCAACCCTTCTCGTCTGTACTTGATTAGTTTGAATGAAAACGTCCCTGAACGGGCGAGCAAGTGTTTCTGATAACTGCTGTGTGTCGTTCTGCACTGTGAGGCTGTAATAACGGAGTCCGTTTAACTTGATCCAGTGAAATTAGACTTTGCTTTTTGGGTTTTGAACCATAAAAACACTGCAAGAAAACCCAGCTATAATCAGAAATGAAAACCATGTCTAATTTGCTGCATTTAGCTTCTTATTTGCTAAATTTAGCTTTTAGAATTTGAGTGCCTTTGATTTGGGAGCAAAACTGGTCAGTTACTATGGTGATACGGATAGGTTTGAAAATTGAGTTGGATATAAAAACATAAGTTAAATAAATAATAAATAAATAAATATATTTGAGAGGTGAGGAGACAGGATGTTAAAAACACTTTGGAGACTTTTTCTGTGTAATTGTTTTGCATGGAGGTGTGTTGTAGGCTCTTCTTTTTTTAAACGTGTTGAGTCTGAAAACTGCAAATTTCAGAACGAACGCAAAAAATAAGATGAATGCTTCTCATCCTCTTGTCAAAACTCCCGGCTGCAGAATTTCCAATCGCCAAAGAAAATGCTGCAAATGTGAATTGTGTGTCCTGGTTTTTGAAAAAGTGAACTGATGTTCACCTACGTCTCAGAGTTCATCTACAGAAAAAGCACAGATGAAACGGTTCCACACACGTAGTTGAGCCAGTGCTCTAAGTATGTTGGTAGCTTTCTAGTGTTTATTTCTAGAATCGACAAAACTGCCTGTGATTCCTCCTTTGGGACTCCTTTAACACATCTCATGCTTCCATGTTTGCTTCTGTTCTGCATGGCTAATCTCACATCCTCGTCTACCTCTCCACCCAGGGTGAACTCGTTTAACTGTCGGGACACGTGATCCACACGTGTTGCTTTTGTATGTTTGCATTGCAAGATGTGACATTTAGGATCAGTAACTGCTAAAACAAAAGCTAATCTTTCTGATCATGAAAAATGACTGCGCTTAAAATCAATCCTGCCTTAAAGCAGCAGAGCGGTAGGTAGAGGCCTTCAGAACAACCTTTTTTAAGTTAAAGATGTTTCATAGAAAAATGTGAACCAATTCAAACAGATTCAGTTCCTTTGATAAACAGCTTGTTGTGCAGCTTCTCTGTGACGTTCATCCTGCTTCTGCTGTGAATTTCCAATAAACCGTGCGTGCATGATGCTACAAGATGTGTCCACTTTGGATTCACTCTAGTGGGGTTCTCTACACAATTACACAAGGGCCTGGAAGGAAAATGTCTGACATTTGGAAGTCATATTTCATCCACCAGCTATACCGTTTTTAACAAAACATGCTCACTTTAGAACACAGCTGTACACGTGTGCTGTATAATGTCTCCACCTCACAGGAAATGTTGTGACCAGATTTCTGCACAAACTAAAACAAACGTGTCCAGAAATGTGAAATTCAGAACCTTGTAGTCGACTACTGGCATCCTATGTTCTTCTGGAATGTGAAGTCTGACTTTTTGAGCTTTTTGACTGTTTAGATCCAGTACACACACACACACACACACACACACACACACACACACACACACACACACACACACACACACACACACACACACACACACACACACACAAAATTACAGTAACAGCCAGTGTGGGAGAATCTTTAAATGTATAGGAACACATTCACACAGTGAGGAAGTATTTGAAAACATAGACTTTGCAAGTTCTCCCACTTGGATATCCTGGAGGGGTCTAAAATTCACATTGTGGGTGCATTCCCACTGTGAGACGGCATTTAAACCCATCGTTTAAACCTCAGGAAATCATGAGTTTTAAATAATTTATAGTGCACTGCTGCTCATAAGTATTTGAACAGCTGAGAAAATCAGAGTTAATGTTTGGAAGTTAAGAGGTCAAACATTTCCAGTAGTTCTTGAACAGGTTTTCACACACCTTAATATGTTCTTACGGAGCCACTCCTTGGCTACCCTGGCTGTGTACTTGGGGTCATGTCATGTTGGAAGACCCTAACCCATCTTCAGTGCTCTGACTGAGGGAAAGAGGTTGTTGTTTAAAATCTTACAATACACGGCCCCATTCATCTTCTCCTTAATACAGTGCAGTCATCCTGTTCCCTTCACAGGGAAACACCCTAAAGCATGATGTGTCCACCCCCATGCTTCACAGTAGGAATGGTGTTCTTGGATGGAGCTCATCCTTAGTTTTTTCTCTAAACATGGTGAGTGGAGTTTAGACCAAAAAGTTATTTTTTGGTCTCATCTGACCGCATGACTTTCTCCCATGCCTCCCTTGTGGATGGATCATCCAGATGGTCATTGGCAAACTTCAGACGAGTATGGACATGTGATGACTTGGGCAGGGGAACACTCCATGCAATGCATGTTTTTAAAGGTGTGGAACTCTGAAGAAACATTTTTAAATGACTATTTCTGATTATAATAGGTCATTGAGTATTTCATGCAGGCTAAACATGAAAATAGTCTCCTACACCTCTCTCCTGCATTAGCATCTGATAGAAAATAGACTGGGAAATGCTAGGATTTGGAAATCCAGACAGTTCTACATCAAACTGTCAATTAGCATTCACTGACTCACCAATCTTGACTTGCAACAGGGAAGGCTGTTGGTTTAGCATCCAGGAAACAGCAGAGAACATAAATGTTAGCATTAGCAACTCCACAACATGACAAAACTCCTCCAGGCTTTTGTTATTAGTGGAGTTAAAACATCAATGTTGCAGAATAAACAGAGTCAGTAGAGACATGTTAACGTTATCTAATCTGTCCAAATATCAGGAAATAAGACTCCAAATTCTGCTGTCTGAAGCTACTCCCTCCTCCAACAGACTTTGTTTTTGAGTGCTGACATGCACTTCCTGAAACAAGCACATCTGAGCTTTTTTTTCCCCAGAGTACAACTTACAAGACATTAATTTCTACTTGAGACCATTGCAAATATATGGATTAAACAAGTGTTCTACACCTTTAAACCATGACGGCATAGTGATCTACCAACAGTGACCTTTGAACCTGTGGTCAGTTCTCTTCATGTCACTGACCAGCTCCTCCTGGGCTGATTCGCCACGTTTTTCATCATCAGTAATACTCCACCAGGTGAGATCTTGCATGAAGTCCCCATCTGAGGGAGACTGACAGTCGTCTTTAACCTCTTTCATCTTCCAAAATGACTGAATCATTGGACTCTTTGGGATTTTCTCACTGTCGAATTCTAACTATATTCTTACACACTGCACCTTTAAGTTGTATGGAAGCCCATTCCTGCCACTCGGATAAAAAAAATTATTATCTCATAATTATGACTTAGCTATCTCATAATGATGAGATACTACCTCATAAGTATGAGATACTAAGTAATAATGATGAGAAAGCTATCTCATCATTATGACTTAGCTATCTCATAATTTGGAGATACTATCTCATAATGAGATAGCTAAAGTCATAATTATGAGATAATTTTTTTTATCTGAGTGGCGGGAATGGGCTTCCATAAAGTAGCTACGTCTTATGTTTACATGTTAAATAAGTGAAACCTCACCGAGTGAGAAATAATATGAGCATAAGATAATACACAACTCTAGTTACAGGTTTAATTTGCTTCCTTTGCATCACAACCTCAATCAAAATACTTTGAACAGAGTCATACTTGTACATACTTGTAATCTTTTACTTATCTGTGTCCAGGTGGTGGGACAAAAACAGAGAAACCCTGGCATGTCCTCTTACCACCCACGTCCACCACTTCTGGTGGGGTCAGAGCAGTCAGATGTTTTGAGAACAATGTTGTGCAGTAACCATAGTTGACCAGCAGGCGGCAGTGTTTGGAATTAGTCAGAGTAAAAATTTCTGTTCGATTTTTTAAAAACTGTCTGTAATATTTATTATATGAAAACGGATTTACGAAATTTATTTACGTTTTCAAATCATTTGGGTTTATCTGAGGCTTAATTTCAGAGATATAAAAAAATAGTACACCGGATGTAGCACTGCGCTAACTTTCTGAAACGGAAGACGTACGATGTAGGTGTTGTACGTTAAGAGCACGAACGAAATAGAAATTTACATTTTTTTTTACATTACCCAAAGAGGAAAAGCTGATTTTATATAATTTCATATCAGTTCCAGAGTTCGTGATGTTTAACAGACAGAACAGCCTTTGGATGGGGGATGTAAGTAACAACTTGACGGCTGGTTTTGTTTAGCGGTTAGCTTAACCTAGCCTGGTTAGCCTAACAGATAAACCATCGTTGCCGTAAATTGATAAAGATCCTCTAATGTTTTGAAAGGCGTTAGAAAATACTGTTCAGTAAAATATAACAGGTAATATTGATTGTGTATTCTTGAAGACACGAGTATGTTATTTTAGCAGAAGCGCTTCGTCATGGCGCTGGAAACGTTAGCTTGGTGAAAGCTAATAAGTAAACTTGTTACTCTCGTGTAGATAGCATGATTGGCACGGCAGCGAGCAACTGTGTTTATCCAGGAATCTGAACAAAAGTACTCCAAAGTACTTGATCTCAATTCGACTTTTTTTAATTTTCTGCTCAGGATTAATCTATTTACTGTGGATGTTTCATTCATTGCAACACAAAATGAATCTTACATCAGAGCTTACCTATCGGGTGTACCAGTTTTCTTTCACTACAAAACTACACACCAATATTCTTTCCTAAGGATACAGCGATCAGCACCATATCTTATTCATTGCTTTTTTCTATATACTTTTTGTTTGATACTAAATCATTTTATAAGTAAGCAAATAATTCCTTGTTGTTTATTTAACAATGCGTTTGGGATATATTTCCCTTCATTATATACATTTTATTTACATAATATTCCATTTCGATGTGCATTAGATTCAGTTATGTGCTGCTGAGTGACCACGTACTGGCTGCCTGTTGTTGTCACTCTGATTCAGTGGTTGTTTTAGTGGAGACGGATTTATGTCTGATGTCAGAAGCTGAAGATAAATAGTGTACAAATGCCACGGGTACATTTTTGGATCAGACACAGGAGTATGTTTAAAGGTCATTAATCAACACAACCTGTTTATACTTGCAGGACAAGCAGTTTATTTTTAATGCAGATAAAATGGTCTCCATTGTTAATGTTTTATTTGTTGAGTTCTTTGCGTGGTCTTTGTAGTTCTTATCTTTTCTGATTGCTATGAAATACACTCCGCTTAATAGCCAGACCTTTTGAAGTTGATAAAGCATAAAGACTTGTTTTTTAATTATTTTTTTGACAGCTGATGTTGTATTGTCAAGTTCTGCCCTTTTAGGACTAGTAGTGTTCTACAGTCCTTCAAAGACATTACTCTATAATAGAGCATGCAGTAGTTTTTGGGAGCTCTATTACTTGCATTACACACTTAAGAGAGATTTTTGTCCAGGATTAGTACCAAAATTTTTCAAAGCAATTTCATTTTTTAGAACCTTCTTATAAGTTATCTGTATTTTAAACAAAATAATAAAATAAAATCTTGTTTATGTTACCCTTACTTCACACTGGAAGCATCAGTGGAGTGGAGCGGTTTACTTGCAACTTTTGCTTTGTGCTAATACACACCAGGAGCAGCTTCTCTGCCGTGCTCCTCGTTTAACTTGCGAGATCAGACAGTCCCTCGAGACTTCAAAGGTCATGGTTTGTTTATGCCATCCACCATTAAACCAAAAAGAAGGAAATCACGTTTGATATCGCTGTTTGATGTCATATATGATGTTGTTGCCATGAAAACACCGCTGCACATCTGGAACGATGCTGGGAGTAAATAAGTAATTAAGTCACTTGTATTGATGTAATCTACATAGATATATAATCGCTGCGCTGTTAGCCTTTTTTATTATTATTGGGGGTTTTACAATGATACCATGTGTGATTTCCTGTCTAGCCCTATGTTAACTGCAGAAATTGACGCGTCCCAGAAGCGTCTCGCAGCAAAAATGGAACCTGATCCTCATTTAGTGGCACGGCATGCCGCTTCTGGGAGACACCTGAAAAGTCTGCGTTGCGTCTGGTTTGAATCACCCTTGTAGGCTATAATGGATTCTATTTGAAGCAGCAAAGTACCACTAGCCTGGTCTGCCAGACTCCTCCTCTGTTTAATTCTGCACAGAGAAAGGGTCTGGGAACTCTCCTATTCAAATAACCCCACCCTGTGAGAATTCTAACCGAGCCAATCAGCGCTGAGCAGCAAACGTCACACACCGCAACGCCGAGTTTTTCATAAACATGGCGACTGAAGCGGAGTTCGCTGCGGCTCTTTGTTCTAAATGACTTGGACATTAGTTATTACTTTGTCTTAAAAACTACAACAAGTAGAAGCGCTAAAAGCCTTTCTTCTAAAAAAAAAGATGTTTGCGCTGTCGCCAGATGCCATTTTTGACAACAGCTATAAAACTACAGCATCGCGGCCGTCACATACAGTGACACACAGTTTCTCATAAACAGCGAAGACAGCGGCGTAGTTCGCTGCGGCTCTTTCCTCTGTTCTAAATGACTCAAATGTCTTTAAAACCACAACAAGTAGAAGAGCTAAAATCATTTCTTCTAAAAAATAAAAGATGTTTGCGCCGTTGTCAGATGCCTTTTTTTTTTACTACAGCTAAAAATCGACAGCGTTGCGTGGTACAGTCGGCATTTCCGTCTTTTTTCTGATTGGTTATTTTTGAGCTGCCCAGTCCCGCCCCTCATGTGCCTCTGCCTGTGAGTCAGCAGACTCTTCCTCTGTGCAGAATTAAGCAGAGGACGAGCCTGGCAGGCCAGGCTAAAGTTCCACACCACTGATGCCAGTGTGAAGTAGGGGGTTAAGGTTGTGTACATCTATTAAAATATTTGGTTAAAAATGTTTCTCTGCATTTTGTTTATAGTTGGACCCATATATGGATGAGAACTTCGTCAAACAGGCCTTTAGTGCTATGGGAGAATCACCGCTGGGAGTCAAGATCATCACTCACAGGATAACCGGGTAGGGAAGGTGGATCACCTCAGATCACAAACGAAACACACATGTAACGACAATCATTTCTTATTATATCTTCTAAATAATTAAAATGTTGTTAATTCTCAACCTTAAAGGTATAGAGGAGGGTCTTTTTCTTCCAGGCGGATCATCTGAACCATTGCTCCGCGTAACTGTCAATCAGTTTGGTGAAGCTTTCACTGAAAGCCGTCGTCGTACATGCAGTTACTGGGTTAGTCTTCACTTCCTGCACATGCGTGTTCTGTTTATGTGTAGAGCGATAGGCCTTCATCCATTCATTGTACTTCGCTGTTCTCACCGGGTTCTTTTGAAAATGGCTGAGAGTCGCTAGAGAAATGGTGTCTTCGAAGTCTATGATAAGAAGAGAAAGGCCTCCGAAGTGAGAAATAAGACCAGACTTTTTTTGGGACTCTTCAACGTTGGTGTGCGCTGGTTTTCTGCTCTACAAGGAAAAGTCCGGCATGCTTTTTTGGAAAAATGTCATTTCAGATTACTGCTAGAAGACATTATCTACGACTATATTCTAGCTGTCCAGGGAGGAATTGTTTGATTCTGATCGGAGAATAAACCTAATGGTTATTAAGAGAGATGTGTATCCCAATGGAAATATTTTATTAATCCCACGGGGGAAAGTATATTCTATGGAAACATAAACAAATCAGAAAAGGAAGAAGGTGCAGAGGTAGACAGACAGCAGTAGTACAATACAGGTGGAAGAAGAAATAAGTAAAATTCAATGCAAAAAATTAAAATAAAAAAGGAACGGCTCATAAATGCATATAAATATGAAATTGCTGAAAACCCCCACAAATGTTATTTTTGAATGTGCGTGTGATGCAAGGCAGGAAACTGCTTGTAAACAGAGCGTGCAACTGGGTGTTCTTTTTCATGCGCATTTTTTCAAAACGTGGAGAGGGCAGATCTTTCCTGAAATTCAGAAACATCCTCCGCCATACCTTTAAGGTCATTTTTTGCTGATTAATCCCAAACCTTTGAGTGATCTAGTGTATCTAAGAGGAGGGTCTTCCATGTCCGTCCTTGTTGTGTAGTGGTTCGGCAGGATACTGCTTTGTGGAGCTGGCAGACGAAGCGAGTGTCGACCGCTGTGTGCAACGGCTCAATGGAAAACTGGTTCCAGCATCAAACCCGGTAGGCTACTTGATGCAAATGCACAAGTTCATAAACTCTTTTGTCCATGTAGCAGGATCAGAAGTGAATGCTCCTTGATTATTTAATTGTTTTGACTTTTTAATGCCAAAATTCCTTTTTTTAGTGTTACTGAAGCTATCGCATTGAATTTTTTGTTGATATGACTTTGAATAGTGGAGCTCAGCTTCCTTTAGCCCCAGTTCATTAAACGATAACCTATATTTGATGTGTGAATCATTCTTGTGAAGAACTTTGTTAAATTTGCCCAATTTGCTAACTGTGATCTGCTAAGCTACTGAGCTCCCCTGTTCACTGGCCTGTATCTGCTGCTGAAAGTGGTGAGGAAGCTGCTTGTACATGAATGTACTTTGTTTGAAGCTGGTCAATAGAGCCTCTGGTATGAACTAACTGAGGAAGGGTCTAAAGGCTGGTCTGGGTGGTGGAGGTATGTAAACTCAAGTAACAGTAACAAAAATAACTCCTCTTTCTATTTCCAGCATTTTCAGTGCTATACTACACGTCTTTGGTGTTTGAGAGAGGCTTAATGTGTGTGTTTTCTCTCCATGCAGCCCCGGAAGTTTAAGCTAAACTTTGCTACCTACGGTAAACGACCAGAGGCGGGGTGAGAGTTCATTTATAAACTTGTTACATAAAAAAACAGCCTACTGTCATGACCACAGACATCATATACGTAGACATCCCGTGGATTGGCATTGCCAATAGGAGCTGGCGTAGCCACGGGCCGCCATCTTGGTTGGGCCTCCATTCCTCCCCAGTCAGGGTCCGAAATTAAATTTTTTACTCACCGGCCAAGTTGGCCGGCAGATGATGAAAATCTACCGGCCAAAATTCTAAATGATTTAGATCTACCTAAAGCATGTAATTCTATATTATGTTGATTCCAAACAGAGTGTCAAAATAATTAAAACATCAATTAATAAGAAAAACAACTCTTTTGTCATTTTTACTATTTATTTATTTATTTTTAGAGATTTTTTTATGAACTCTTTCACTGAAATCTAGTCAGACTCCTTGTTTTCTCTGTCCAAGAAGTCTGGCCTCCTGCTTCTGACACCGTCTTTGTGCCAAAGCATTACAGCCTCATTTGGGTCAAAGTCCTTGATCTCTGGAGAACACAGCTGCACCATGAGAATATCTGAAAGTGTGTCAGGGCTAGGGTTGTCACGGTAACCGGTGTAGCGGTAAACCCCGGTAAAAAAGTTGATAATAATAATAACCGTCTTGTTTTTTAAAAAAAATAATATATTATCTCGGTGGATTACCGTGGCTGCGGTGTAGGCGCGGTGACCCTTACCAGCCACCGTATCATCTGCTGAAGTTGCCGGCGGCACATGCGCACTTTGTTGTTTACAACCAAAACTTTCTTTAAGCTAAAGCTGAAATAATGGCCAGAGGAGACGGCAGCACTCGGGACATTCATTATCCCTCAAAGAAGACAAAGTGGGAAGTACGGGCATTTATTGGATATTTGAAGAATGCAGAGGGACAGTTGATAGAAGACGGCTATCCTGTTTGCAGCACGTGCAGAAAAAGTGTCTGTGAAAGGCAGCAACGCTACGTGACCATCATAATGTAGCCATTGTCTCACGACCCCGCCATCTCCAGTTCGCCACTTTTCACAAAATCTTCTGGTTGCCACTGGTCCTGGTGGTTTTTCTTCCAGTTCGACGAGTTTTCATTTGGAAGGCTGGCTGACTCCAGTTAAAAACCGCCACATTTCACTGCTAGTTTTAACACGAAGCTAACTGCTAACTTGATAAACTGATTGAATGGGGTAGGTGGAAATGAAGTTGGATGCGGCGCTCACGTTTCGCGTACGTTTGTGTACGTTGCATGCAGGCGGGAGGAGTATCAGAATTCCATGGAAGATGACTGTTAAACATAACTAATTTGGTGCAGACATTTACTCGCCAGGTGGCAGATAGAGCTCAAAAATTTACTCGCCAAATGGAGCAATTTGCTCGCATTTGGCGAGTGGCGAGTGTTAATTTCGGACCCTGTCCCTAATGCATTCATCTCTACTGAGGAAGGTGTTTGTTTACCCAAATAAAAAACTTTAGGTTACCCCAAAGGCACCCCCTGTGCCAAGAGGGAGGGTTGATGCCAACAGCGGAGCTCCGCAACGCACGCTGCAGAGACCATTACCCTGTGCGCTCTATGGCGCACTGGAGGAGTCCCAGAGAAGCCACCCAGCGTTGAAAATCTCATGTGTAGACGGCCCAACTGGTGTGTTAGCCAGAGAACGAACAGGTGCACTGGAGTGTGAAGCTGCTCGCTGTGCCCCAAGCCTATGGTGAAGGTCAGGACAGAAGGACAGTAAGTTAACGTTCGGCGACGGAGAGAGAATATTAGCTGGCTCCGTCTGTGAACAGTTGAGCTAACTTACCTGAGATAAGCAACCACCGAAGCGAGAAGAGGTGATTGAATAGTGCGTGCGTTGGGACGCTTGCTACTTATAGTAGCAGGGGACGTGTATGTCACGGTCACTGGCCAATCAGGATTGGCGTATTGAGATAAGTGCTTCTGAGGAATCCGCGGAGGGGCGTATCCCATAGTGAGACATTGAAACGAATGTTAAGAAAGAGAACACATTTTATTATGCTTTTGCACAAAATCAGACATTGCGTGGCATGATGTTTAAAATATAAATATAAAATCTCAACAGGCAAGTTATAAAAATCAATAGTAATCCCACGTGACCTGTTTTCAAATGGTGCACTGGTTGTTGCAACTGTAGGCTGCACAAAAGACGACCATAGTTGCTAGCTCTGCATTGACTCCAGTTTGGTTTGGAGAGTGAGGAACCAATCCAATATGGTGGCAATGTTCTCTCCATTGCCTAATGAGCCATCTACATATTCATGTCTATGGTCATAACTACAAAGATACTCATCATTCTTCTGTTTACATTATTGCATTGAATACACTGAAGAGCATTTACACTTCTGTAATTATCTTTGTGACAAAAATGTAAAGGAGGAGTTTTACACTGAATGCTCATGTGATTTCCTGTCTAATCCTATGTTAACTGCGAAATTTGACATGTCCCGGAAGCGGAACACCGTAAAAATAGAACTTGATCCTATCTTTTCAGGGACACGACTGAAAGTACCCGCGTCGTTGCTGGTTTGAATGACCCTCATAGACTGTAATGGATTCTAATTTTAAGCGGTGATGTTCCGCTGCCGTTCCGCACCACTGATGCTTCCAGTGAGCAGCAGTGTTAGCAAAACTATGTTAACATATTCATGCTGCGACACTGATTAATGGGATACGAGTGGTTTTATCACATTCCATCTTTTAGTTCTTTTTAAAACACAGAAAGGTTTTATTTACCTGCAACGTTTGCCTGACGAAGTTTGCAGCCGCAAACGAAACGTTGCAGGTAAATAAAACCTTTCTGTGTTTTAAAAAGAACTAAAAGATGGAATTAGAATTTCAACACAGCAAGAACACACCAAAGATGGTTTTATCACAGTCCAAACGTTGAAGAGTGAAACAACTGATCAATCGTTAAGCTAATCTGAACTTTAGGACCTAACCATCAGATGAACATTAAAGTAAGTTGAGTAAATAGTCAGTAAAACCAGAATTTGTGTTAATTTTCTTCATAAAGGGATGAAAGTGGTTGAAACAAAAGTTGAGAGTTAGCATGTTGTTGAATAGTAAACGAAAGGCAGTTTTTCCTCTTTGCTGCAGTTTGAGTACAGAAAGTTTGATTTGAGTTCTTTGGTCCTCTCAGGCCGGAGTTCTCTGTGTTTGTGGGGGACTTGGCCTCTGAAGTGGACGACTACCAGCTTCATCAGCTATTTAAGAAGTACCCATCCTGCAAGGGGGCCAAAGTAGTCACTGACCAGTACGGGTACTCGAGGTACGTCGGCTGCTGTGTGTGGACCGTACTCATTGTTTGTTCACTTTCTTTGTGGTTTATAATTAATAATACCGTAACAAGTGTTTCTGTGGTGTAATGATATATTTGGATAGCAGTGCTTTGGACGTTGAGCACCACTGCATCTTCGTCTATTTTTCGAAAAAAGGCTGAAGAAATGTTTTCCTGCCATTTTATGCTAAAACTATTGTTTTCCCCATATAGGCTAAGCAAGAGCAACTCACAATTCAAGTGATGCTACCTCATGTTAAAAGTAAAACAGCAAGTTTCAGTTCTACCATAATAATACCCATTATATTCTCTTTCTCATAAGTGGCTATTAAATGGCAAGTATGTGGCATGTACAGGTGGGCAAAGGAGGTGTAACTGTTGTCTGATCTACAGAGGCTACGGCTTTGTTAAGTTTGGAGATGAGAGCGAGCAGAAGAAGGCCATTGAGGAGTGCCAGGGTACAGTGCTGGGGGGGAAGCCTCTCAGGCTCAGTATTGCTGTAGCAAAAAGGTGAGAATTATTAGATGTGACTAAAGAAAGCTCAGGTGACAGGAAAGACTCTTGTTCTCCAAGAAGCTGTCTTTCCACAACCCTGACACTTGTTTATTTTGTTTGGTAGTCAGAAGATCACAAACTACCAAGCAAGTCAAGGCCAGAATTATAGCAACTACAACCAAACACAGCCTGGCTACTATGGCGGTCAAACAGGTGGAAATCAAGGCGGCTACTACCCTCAGTGGGGCGGCTACGACCAGTATGGCGGCTACAACAGCAGTGGCTATGGAGGCTATGGAGGCGGCTACAACAGCGGCTACAATAGTGGCTACAGTTATAATTATGGGCCCTATGGATACCCCCCACCAGGTCACATGATGCCACCGCCCCCCATGGGGATGCCACCTGTAACCACCGACGTGACAGAAGCTGTAGAGGTAGGACACACACCTGTTTGGAAACATGCATGGTTTATATCATTCAAAGTGTTTAGCAATAATATTAAATACACTTTTCTAAATATGGTGTCTTTCTCCCACAGGGCCAAGAGCAGGTCGAACAGACTGAGGATGATAATGAAGAAGGTAAAACCCTGAGATTTTTCTATTCAATTCAGTTCATTTATATAGCACCAAATCACGACAAGAGTCGTCTCAAGGCACTTCACGAAGTAAACATTCCAGTATAGTTCAGTTCATTAAGACAATCTGTAAAAAAATTCCTATATAAGGAACCCAGCAGACATACTGATTTTATCTACTATAAACTAGAGAAATTGGGAATAATTTATTGAGGAGTAAACTTAATTTATATTAAATCTGACTAATTTAGGAACAGATGAATGTCTTAGAAATCAAAATGTTTGAACCCACACTCTACTGAAGGATTCTGCTCATTTAGCTAGCTGCTATTATGCTATGTTGGTGCTGTTTGACACTCTTCTGCTAGCTTTTAGCGTGCTAGCACCACATTGTTATTGTTTGACACCCTTTAGCTAACTGTTAGCATGCTAGCAGTATGCTGTTGCTGTATGTCACCTACATTTTGTGTTTTGTGGTGTTTTCCAGAACCCATCCCTGAATGTGACACGGAGCTGTGGAACAAAGAGTTTATGCAGCGCAGTGAGGAGCTTTATGACGCCATGATGAACTGTCACTGGGAGCCACTGGACTCTATAGAATCCCCCATCCCCACCCTTTGATCGATTTTGTCTTTCTCTGTTAAAATAAGATTTTATATGCTTTAAAATATGCCACCACATTAACATCCTATAAAAGCCAGCAAGAGTTTGACTTCTGCAGACACAGACATTCACTCTATGATATTGTTTACCATGTTGGTAACAAACAGGACATTTGTTAATAGTGTGTTTACGGAGTGAAACTGTCTGCATACACCAGAGAATCAAACGTTCTGAGGCCGATTGGCACTCTGAAGTCGTTGTTACATAATTGGATGTTGTGTGTTTTTTTTATCCCGTGATGAAGAACAAAGCACAGGCTCTTTATTGTTGTTGTTGATTCATGTTGAAATAACCAGAAAAATGTTCTTGTCAGAGTTTTCTCCAAACAACAACAACAAAAAAAAAGAAAGCCACGCCTTTTGTTTGATTGTTCCATTGGTTCAGTATGGTCGCTAGCATTTTTCACATTTACTGTTTCGGTTCATAAGGACTTCTAGGCTTAGATAATTTTATTTGTATGTGGTCAGCAGTTTGGAACGATGGTATAGAGGTCAGCATATAAACTAAAATGTTGACAAGCTGAGAGCTCATCGTGGTACGTCCTCCAGAGACGTCTCATTGGTGGAACTAAGGCTGGATAACGGATGCATTTGTGTTCTGATCTTTAATAATATTTTGTATATATTTTTTTCTGAAGATGTTTTATAAAATAAAATTGGGTGAAGCTGACCATAAGAAGTACTGTCACTTTGTGAGCAATCAATGTAGTGTGTGTGTTTTTGGATGACACGATTTTTAACAGGTGTAACTTGTCAGTGCCAGCATACCGTACCGTACCACATTTATTTATAGAGCACATTTAAAAACGGCATGTCAGCCGACCAAAGGTCTTGAACACAGAAAGAGGTCAATGTAAACAAAAAAGCAGTAAAACCAATGTTAAAACGAGCCCTCAATCAAAGAATACAACAGGCTGATGAAACTTAAAATTAAGAATGCAACCCAAAATGCAAAAACCTAAACATTTGGTTGCAATAACAACATAAAAACTACTGAATAAGAGCAAAAGAGTAAAAAGAAATAAATACATTTCAGGGACAAAGTCCACTAATTAAAATGCTACCATCCTAAAGCCATTCTGAAGAGATATGTCTTAAGGCTGGATTTAAAATACACAAGTGATGGAGCCAGACGTGCTGAGAATAGGAGTGCATTCCACAGTCCTAGCCTGCTTCAAAAAGGGCAAACACAATCTCTTCCTACAAGCAAAGATATCTGGTGCCTGCATTCACTTCCCATTTGGATCAACCATCCATCCATCTGTTTTCGTCTGCTCATCCGGAGTCGGGTCGCGGAGGCAGCAACCTAAGCAGAGAGGCCCAGACTTCCCTCTCCCCAATCACTTTGACCAGCTCCTCCAGGGGAGTCCCAGTGCTACCTAGTCAGCTGAGAGACATAGTCCTTCCAGCGTGTCCTGGGTCTACCTTTTAGGCCTTCTCCTGGTTGGACCTGCCAGGAAAACCTCACCAGGGAGGAGTCCAGGAGGCATCCTAACTAGATGCCCGAGCCACCTCAACTGGCTCCTCTCGATGTGGAGGAGCAGTGGATCTACTCTGAGCCCCCAAGATGACTGAGCTTCTCACCCTATCTCTAAGGGAGACCCCAGACACCCTGCAGAGAAAACTTCAGCCGTTTGTATCGCTATGATCGTGACCACAGAGGGTTGGAACTTAGATCACCCGGTAAATCGAGAGCATTGCATTCCGGCTCTTCACCACGACAGACCAGTACAACTCCCGTATCACCGCAGATACAGCACCAATCTGCCTGTCGATCTTGCGCTCCAGTTTTTGTTCGGAAGATCCCGAGATCCTTGTCTCTGCTCATCCCCTTGTCTGTGCCTATATCCTGTCCATAAAAGTTATGAACAGAATCAGTGACTAAGTGCAGCCTGGGCAGAGACCTGTTTGGATATCAGAGAAAACAAAAACACACACACACTGTTAAGTCCTTTACTTTGTTCTGGATTTGATATATTTCATATTCATTGTTTACATATTTGTGTTTTAGCTAATTGTAGTGATTCTTGCTTTCTGCGTCCTCCGCCTCATTCTTTGTGCTGAGCAATCCATGTCCGGGTCTCCCGGGGCTGCACCAGCTGGGCCCCATGCGGTACCAGCCCTGATATAGTCCTCTCCAAATGAGACAGCCCAGAGCACCCCCCAGCAGCTGAGTGGGGAACCGAGGAAAATAGGCTAGAAGACAGAGCAGCAGAAAGATCCAAAGCCCAAGGAGGAGAACACAAAAGAGAAAGAGGATCCTCAGCGGAGCCTCAGAGACCCCTCCGAGGCTGAGATAAGGGCCAAACACAGCAGTTTCCTCCGCCAGCAGCAGGCAGCACAGACAGAGAAAGAAGACATCCTCTGAAACCTCATATCCCCTCCAAACCATCCCGCCTTTCAGGCACTCTTTCTTGCTCTCCCCCTCTCGCAGCACCAGCAGAGGCTGTCCGTTTGCTACCTCTACATTTAAAGATTCATAGCAGCTTCCTGTAGTGTTCTCCAAGAGGTCTAGTAGTTTACAGAAACCAAGCCAAAGTCCACCTGCTACTGCAAGCCTGGAGAGATGATGAAGGGAAAGTAAGAGGGAACGACGGATGGAGAAGGAGAGAAGGAAGACAAAGGAGCCAACGAAGATGAAGGTCCATCCCCAACCGGAGTGCAAGAACAACCTGGAAGGAGGAGGAGAAAGCGTGAGGCCAGGAGAAACGTCTTACTGGAAAAACTAAACTTTGTTCATCAAGTGGATGCATCCTCTCTGATTACTCCAGAGGAAGTTTCCTCCCACAGTTCACAGCCATCCTTCTTTATTCTAAATTGACCAATCAGGTTCAAGTAAATGAGAATAAACAGGAAGTGGTCCTACCTGTAGAGGAAGTGGCTTTTCTTGGCAAAGATGCTGTGCTGAGATACCCAAAGGCTCAGGGTGGGGCCGAACACTACCACCGCTGACAGCAGCAGGTGGAAGTGCTGCCTAAACGCCGTGTTACCCAGAAACCTGGCTGCCAAGTCCGTCAGGACCACTAGCACCGTGTTGAGGAACATCTGAACCCACATTCAAAGCTCTGACCAGATCTAAACTAACAGGAACATCAACTATAGCAGTGGTGTTTGTGTAGATTCTCCACCTTAAACCTGACAGCATGCACTTTTTCATGCAACAAGGCTGTAAAACGCTGCAGAATGCACCAAAAAACACCAGTAACAGCTATTTTTACTGGAAAAACGCATGTCCTCATGCATTCCGTCATGCACAAGGGCTAAAAAGAATGAAGAAAAACCATCCTCTTGCCGAAGCTGTCCCAATGAAAAGCTTGATGCTTTGGGGGTTAATCGTGCAGAGATCCCAAGCTGCTGCCTGTGCATTCAAATCCTCAGATGTTAGCAGTAAAGTTTCTTTAGCCATGTGAGAGTTGTGTGCTGCATATTGTGAATGAGACGACCACTGGCTCCTAGCGTTCCACAAACTCTAAATGTGTGCACACTGTGAAATCCAGCCCAGAAATTCTTCGGCCCAGCGGGCTCCTGTGCGGACTCAGACCTCTTCTGCTTGTAGCTTCTGTGTAGTTTGAGCTGCAGCTCAGGGAAGGTTTCTGACTTTTCTTTGGCTCCTTCTGCTGAAATAACTCTTGCAGCCGCGTTACCGTCTGAGACATCTAACTGTTGCTCTTCTATTCCCACTGCAACTCTACCCTCACACCTCTCCACTGACATTGACACTTGGCCTTTAGATATTAGACTTGCCACACGTCTCCTCACCTTCAAGGATGTCAAATAATTTCTACGAAGGTTAAATCAAAGTCACGACTTCTGACTAACGTACATTTATTACACAGCAGAACAAGATTAAGCAACACAAAACAAAATGAAAACAGTGTAATCAGTTAGACAGGGTGTCACTCTGTGTGTGTGTTCATGTGTATTATTAGCAGCAACCTTTGCGCTGTATCTGGTCTGAAACTCAGCTGCTGCAGCAGTTTGGTTTTGTCAATCACTGAAAGGCACGCCCCCACCCCCGCTCTTCTTGCTCTCTGACACCAATTTAACTCATTTAAATCTACTCTAATTGCTTCAGTTAACTGCATCATCACCTTAAATCCATAAAACTCAAACACAAATGTGTAGATGCGATGGGTTTAACTGCTTCTGTTTTTGTCAAAGTGACCTTACAAACCTGCCGTCAGTTTCCTCTTCAGTTAGAGAGCTTAGTTTATAAAGTTATCACTGAGTGCTGTAGGCTACGTTAAGGGTTCATGTAAGAAATGTGGGGCTGAGCGCTAAGTTTTAGACTGCATGTTTGTTTTTAGAAGGCTGCAAAGAACATTTCCCCGTGGGGATAACAAAGTTGGACTGACTGATAAATTTAGGTTCTTGAGATGAATATTTACTAAAGCCCAGTTAAAAGAAAAACTAGTAAATAGAAGATTACGACACTGTTTATTTAGCTTATTTAGCAACATCTGGTTGGTTAAACCACTGATGTTTGATATTACTAATTTAAATCTTTTGGGTAAGGAGGTTGAAAGTTAACAAACCAACAATCTAAATCACAGAACACAGTAAACTCCTCTCATTTGTTCCTCATCAGGTTTCTCCCTGTGAGTTATGTGTCACTGACACTACTTGTGACATCGTTGTTCCCTCTCGTGGTGAACTTAGAAGCTGTTAGTGCACTGGGTTTGTCTCGTCGCTACACTCCTGCTGACATCTGGCACTGAAGCACAAATGTAAAATGTGGTGGGATAAATAAAAGAATCTGAGCTTTGATCAGTCACATTTTGAATTTTGCAATTTCACTACTGACAAAAACCCTTTTGTGTTTTTAAAATTAATGTAAAGAGAGGTATGTGACATGGTTTTCTTCAAACGGAGAATTATCACTTTTCCGTTTCCAGTAGTGATGATTTGTGCTGGATTATGACGTTAGGATGTACTTTCATGATCTTAAACTAAGATAAAGTGCTTCCACCTTGTGGACACATGCTGACTTCACCATTTAACCCAAAATTGTAACAGTTTTTCTTCTAAAACACTAAAACACATTCTCTAAACTTCAATCATATTTTTCAAATCAAACACAGTTTTAGACATTACTAACAAAACTCACATCTTTTCTTAAAACCTTAAACACTTCCTGAGCCTCTAAACACATCTCACACACGAACAGCAAAACTGTAAACACTGGCAGAAAAATGTGAACATAAGTAAAACATGGCTGCCATCTTTCACACACACTGGAAACACACGATTCTAAAGATGTGATCAGGTGGCACATGTGCATTTGCATGGATCGATACAGAGAGGCAGAGGAGGAAGAGTCCATGTGAGAGGTGGTGGAGTGGACTAGAAGGAAGTGGACGAGGAAGACCCAGAACAGTCATTACTGTAATATTTGGGCTTTATTGTCCACCGTGTCCTTGTTCAGAGGACAGCAGCATGAAGAGTTCAGCCCAGTCGGAGCACATTCTCTGTGGGCGTCGTCATAAGAACATTTAGAGAAGAGAACAGGCAAATGTTCATTGTTGCACAAAATGCATCCTACTATACTGTAAGCTGAGCTGTCAACTGACCTCTACCTGGTGGTAAGTTGACTTCAGTGGTGGGGGAGGAAGCTGGGCAGTTCTGGCAGACTTAAACGTATTGTGATGGTCTGCTGCTGGCGGAGTCTCCTGTAAGAAGGAGCTTTGATGTGAACCTCTGACAGAATTTTGAAAACGCCCTGAGTGGAGCTGGGGACACTGAGTCCAAGTGGGCCATGCTTTGTGCTTCCATTGTTGAGACGGCTGACCGGAACTTTGGCTGCAGGGTCGTCGGTGCCTGTCGTGGTTGCAATCCTTGAACCCGATGGTGGACACCGGCGGTTAGGGATGCTGTAAAGCTGAAGAAATAGTCCTATCGGGTCTTTTTGGCCTGTGGGGCTCCAGAGGCAGCTGATAGGTACCGGCAGTTCAAGAGGAATGTGGCCTGGGTGGTCGCGAAGGCGAAAACCCAATCATGAGAGGAATTTGGTGAGACCATGGAGCAAGACTTCTGTCAAGGTGATTCTGGTTCACCCTCAGGTGCCTCAGGATGGCAAAGCAGTGCACTACCAACACTGTTTACAGTAGTGATGGTGTGCTGCTGACCTCTATTCGGGACGTTGTGGATCGTGGGTGGAATACTTCAAAGACCTCCTCAATCCCACCGGCACGTCTTCCAGTCAGAAAGCAGACTCTTGGGACTTTGGGCTGGACTCTCCAATCTCTGGTGCTGAGGTCGCTGAGGTGGCCAAAAAACTCTTCAGAGGCAAGGCCCCGGGGGTGGCTGAGATCTGCCAAGAGTTCCTTAAGGCTCTGGGATGATGTGGTGCAGCTTTCTCCAAGTCAGGGATCAGGTCCTGCCTCAAGTGGAGGTGTTTAAGTATCTCGGGGTCTTGTTCACGAGTGAGGTAAAGATGGAGCATGAGCTCGATAGGTGGATTGGTGCTGCGTTTGCCGCGATGCGGGTGTTGCACCGGTCTGTCGTGGTGAAGAGAGAGCTGAGCCAGAAGGTTAAGCTCTCGATTCACCGAACGATCAACATTCGTACTCTCACCCCATGGACGAATGGATGGATATACTGTAAATGCTGTAATCTTCATCTCTATGCTATTTGTACTAGCTATATACATTTTAATGGTTTTGTCCCTCTTCTACAGGCTACCAAATAATGGAGGAAGGGCGTTTCTTTTCTCCCAGCAAGAAGCTTCATTGTTGACAAGGTCAGTCAACATGTCACCCAACTGGGATTGAAGACAGAGTAAACTTTGTTGGAAGAAGAAGGGTTTTATGTTTAGCACATTTTAACCCTCCAACTGTCTTCATGGGTGACCCCGCCAGGAAAGTTGACCATTGAGCTGGGTTGATGGTTTATCCCTTGAGGTCCACGTGACGGGTGAGGAGTTCGCATCACCTCACCCCTGCCACGTGGACCTCAAGGGATAAACCATCAACCCAGCTCAATGGTCAACTTTCCTGGCAGGGTCACCCATGAAGGAAGTGGGAGGGTTAAGATAAAACTCACGAGGCACTTTAACGGGGGATTAAACCTACAATCCATCGATTACAGGGCAGGCTCCCAACCCCTGCATCACCACTGTCTTCACAGTAATCAACAGTTTGGACCATCTCTTCCAGCACAGCAGACCTGGCATGAAAAAAGTATGAAGAGAACCCAGACCTCTGCAAGAGCTGTGAAAGTCCTTCAGGATGTTTTTTTCCCATGAGCAAAAGAAAATATTGCCTTTGATGTGAATGAAGTCCATGTGCACAAAGACACGATGATGTGGGATGAATCTGTGTTTTTGTTTTGTTTTTTCATTTCCAGCACTTTCTAATCAGGGTGCATTTTGTTAAACACACCTACACTAAATATTTCCTGTGAACTAGTCCAGGATAGTGTATCTAACAAATGTTTTGTGGTGAAATTATTTCTACTTTTGCGTGGGCTCGTTTATCTAAGTCTTATAGAGCACTAGGGATATCATAAAATAGCTTTAGACCATCTTGTAACTATCGTACAAGCACTTTTTTATTCAATGTGAAGTAAAACAGCATTTGCTATAGTTTCCTTCAAATGTGATCGCTTTTACAGTTTACTTTCAAACTCGCCCTAATTTCAGAGTAGTTTTTGCACCAAGAGTTCACGCTGCCATGAGCAGGACGTTTCCTCTGAACTGAGCAAGGAAACAGTAGAGAAGAACAAAAAAACTCACGCTATCAGGAAGATAAACAATCAGACTCTGGGTCTGTGTGATTATCCGACAGACCAGAAGAAATCTGCAGAAATTTACAAATGAAAACAACAAAAAGAGTGCTCAGCACCCAGCTCTCCGAGGGCAGACCCATTAAAGGCCTGTGTCTGTGTGTGTGTGGCATCCAGGCAGTCAGAACTGCCAGCTGCAGGATAACCGCTCTAATCCTGCACAAAGCTCTGACTGACATCACAAACAGCTGTCTGCCTCATTGTCTCTGTTGCTGAAAACGCTCCAAACCAGTAACCCTGAAAGGGCAGACATGGGTGGACACGCTGCAGAGCTTGTCCTCACTTTTTCTGAAAAGATAAAATATATTTTGTGCTACCGGATTGCTGCTCGAATGCGGCTACTAACAATTCTTTCAAAATAAAAGAGTAAAAGTTGACTTTGCAGCTGACTCTGGACAACCCATGATTCATGCAGACAGCTCTATAAAGATTTTAAAAGCTGTGATTTTTATGTGAAAATTATGCATATCAGTGTAATGTGACATCGTAATTAGTTAAAGTTTAGAGCCTTTGCCTTCATGGCCCATGTGTGCATGTCTCCAATCGATTCTGGTAGAACGGTGCCTTTATCCCCTCAGTTGCTGTCAAATGGAAAATGCCTCTGACACTGTGGCCGGTGAACATGCCCTAACACAGCTGGTGGTCTGTAGCAGAGGGCAGAGAGGTCAGGCCAAGCAACAAACAAAAGCTCTATTAATATCGATCACACGCTGAGAACTAATGCAGAGAACATGTGCTCAATTCCTACTGAAAGGCACAACACCAGTAAGCACAGCTCTTCACTGTGACCTCTTCTTACTTTAAATTAAATATACGTTTTACATTTTGAAAATCATTCAAATTAAAGCAGCTAATCATTGCTGTGAGACCAAAGTGGGCAGTAATAAAAT